ACCCATTCCCATCCCCAAAAAGTGAGCCAGTCTATCCTTTGGAGCACATTCCAGGTGTATTAAAAATATGCTTTAGAAAATTCATGCATGAACTGATAAACCAAGACAACACTGGAAAGTGTGCCAGAGACAAATCATTTCCTTTGAGCATGGTGCCCAGAAGCAAAAGTAGCATGCCAGCAAAGATTAGAACAAAAAGAGGAAATAGTAAAACCTACCAAACAGGTTTCCAAAAGAGTAAAGGCCACCTAACCTAATAACGGTTGCAGATTCAGTCTCCAAAGCACAAGCATTTCCCACAGTACAGAACTTGAAACAGCATTTGTTTGATGAATATTCAAGATCATAAGCAAAGCTAAGTTGCATTAATCATGCACTTTGTTTATGACAATACCACTTTCTTGTAGTATTTGCACTGATTGTGAAGTCTGCCCTGCTTCAGGGTGCTTATACTGACATATAAAGCCCTGAATGGTTTAGGACCTGGATATCTGATGGAATCTCCTCCCATACATGCCTGCCTGGACCCTCAGGTCATTAGAGGACCTTCTCCAGGAGCCACCTGTAAAAGATATAAGGAAGGTGACTAATAAGAAACAGGACTTTTCAGCTGTGGAGCCCTGTTTGTGGAACTAGCAAATTGGAGCACTGATGCTCTACACCTTTTGGAACTAGATGTAGAGGCTAAAACTTTTTTATTTCCCCAGTATTCTAATTGTTGAAATTTTATATCTTATTTTATTTTTGTGGTACTGTGGATTAATTTTAATTATTTTTTACTGGTTTCATATTTTTGTTACCGTTACTCGTTATTTTTTATTGCTTATGACTGTAAATCGTTCTTGTTTTCATCTTATTGTGATGTTGGGGTTTTATATTTTAAATGTTGGTAAATGGTCCAGAGAACTGACTGGCTAGAGGCACAGTATAGAAAAGTTTAAAAAGCATAAGAGCCCTACACATGTAGAATTTTACCCTAAACTGCCTGGGCCCTGGAGGTATCAGACTACCTTCTCTCATAAACAATCTACCAGTACATTATGATTCAGTTCAATATTCTCAAAGATCCTGCTCCAACATTTGAGCTTTCTTCTCCTACCTGGTCCCCTATGGTTATTTTGGACTCTATCTCCCAGGATATCTAACCATAAACTATGCTGTCTAGGGCTAATGAAAACGAGGCTGACCTGCCGTATAGCAAGACTGGCTTCACAGCTACTACACAGACTGTATGACCCACCTGCCTCACCCTTGTTGGCTCTTTGATAATAATCACAGCTATTTTATTCAGGAGACTTTTGGAGCATATTTTAAGATTGCTGCTTAATTAACTTCAACAGCTCTATTTTGGCTATTTAGCGTTTTGGCTGTTGTATTTTGTAATCATTTTAGTTTGAAACTTATTGGTATTTTGTTAGCTGACTTGTGAATTTGCATCGAAGGGTGGGATTTAAAAACTTTTAAATAAATACAAATGAAGTGCACTGAATACAATTGCCAACAGGGGACACCAGTACACTTATGTTTAGACTGACACACTAACTAGAGCATGACCTCAGACCGCTTCCTCCTATCCATTCAAATGCTTTTGTGAGGGCAGACTGACTATATACAAGAACAGGCATTTGTAAAAGCAGAGATAACCTACTAAAGAAGTTATACATGAAGCACTTTTGAACTGTCTATAAAGCACATTAATACTTAACAATTAAGCCTTCCTGAAGGTATGCATTGCATTACTGAAAACTGTTCATTAAAAATGTATGGAGACCAGCAAGGTAATAAAACAGACTCACTAATTTAGTGTTTTGCAAATGTATAGTACTTCCCATTTATTTTCCTCAATTGGCTCCCAGAAAATGGGCAAGCATCTGCTTTGCAACCTAATTAAATACTGCTTCTTGCACTCTTGGTTATTCAATTAGGGCTAAACCATGGGACTATGCAGACACAGAAATGTTACTTGGATTCCCCTCTCCCCACAGTACTGCTAGCTGCATGAAAGAAACCAAAGCTGTCAAAGAACCCAAAATCTTGGGATGGTCACTGCTCATAGGCTGACAAGGAGGAAAAACATGTTTCCACTGGCACGTGATTACCTCACAATGCAGCATCTCTCATGGGGCACTAGCAGGCCTCAGATCACTGCTTAGAAAATGTGGCTGTTATCACTAACTCATGCACCAGAGTTTTCTTGCTTTCAGCTAAATTTACTTGCAAAACATTTATATATAGGTCATGATTTCTTAGGGAAGGCCACATGAAGGAGCCTGCTGCAGGCATGGAAGTAAAGATAGGAAGCAGAAAATAAGGAGGTCACAGGAGCAAGATACGTGGCCTTTTAAAAGAACTTGGGAGTTCGTGCTTTTTAAACTGGGGCTTGGTAGCAACTGACTCAGGCAACCCAAGCAGCCAGGGTCAGGCTTTTTTTTCAGGTAATGACCTAGTGATGACTCTTATTACATTTCCCCTTTTCTGAGAGTTAAGAAAGCAATTCTGAATATGCCATTAGGAACTACAGCAAGATGATGTTGGAGTCACACATTCTAAAAACTTACTGATGTTTCACCCAATCAAGGGGTTACAGACCTGATTTTTAAGCAGAAGCTTCAAGTTTGGTTTGGGGCAGGCAGGTAATAAATCTAGCTGGTAGAATTAATATAATGGTGGAGTGGGGGAAGAAAAGTGACGAAAGCTCACAGGGAATGCCCTATAGGTCTTTCATTATTAATGTATCCACTATTTCAATTTTTCTCCTTTGAAGAAGCATGGTTTGTCAGCAAAACCTTTTCAATAGAACCTAGAAATGTCAGCAGCAGAAAAACAGGTCACACTCCAATAACACAAAACAATTGGTTTATCAAGACATGATTTGCTTGGACTCACTCCACTTGCTTTAACTCCATAATAGCAGCTGACAGAGCAATAACAATTTCAGTTAATGGCTGGTAAGGGTAAAGTGCGACTCGAAAATGCATGCAGGGAATGTCATCTAGTTCTTAGGATGTTGCTACATCTAACACACCTAGAGCTGAGAAGCCCTTATTCTTAGGGTGTCTCACTTTAGCACACCATTGTTAAATAATCCAAGAGGAAGGCTTGGCACCATCTGCATATCTATTGTACCCCATGAAACTGATAAGAAACCTTAGATCAGCTTCCTCAAATGAGTGCCATCCAAATGTTTTGATCTATAACATCTAGAAGTCTAGCCACCATGTCCAAAGATCAAAAATACCGGCTTTTGTAATCTAAAACATTTGGAAAGCAACAGCTTGGAGAAGACTGCCTTTAAAAAGTACTCTGTCAGGAAGAAACTGAAGCACCCATCCTATTCTCACCTCTTGCTGTGGTGCCACCAATTCACTGTCTGGGAGGGAAAAGAAATGTTGGCAGAGCTGGGGACTCACAGACTGGACTCGCAAACTAGCTGTGATGTGACAGCAGCCGTGCATTTCTAGATCAATGGTTTATCCCAACACATTACTAAGAAATCCAACCAGTTTAATGCAAAAAAGAACCAAGAAGTTGTATAAAGTTTTCATGCGGATGCAGCACAATACAGAATTTGAAGAAAGCATGAAAAGGAGTCAGGAAAAAGGCCATTTATTAGTGCAGTCAACACAACTGAACAGCAAAACACAAAATGCAGTCAGCAACTTGCATACTGGCAGGAGACAGGACAAATTCTGTGGCATATTTCAGAGCACAAGGAACAGCGACAGCAGGACATTAAGGGAGAAAAAGGTGTGTTAGGAGAAGAAAGTGAAGAGATACGGTTATTAGGTTGGATTTAGCAGCTTTTTCAAATTCCTGAGCAACAGGGACTTGGCTAGAACCTATTACTAACCAACAGATCCCCTTTCAAAACATGTCATGTCACTGACATGAATACAAGCACAACCCATTCCATCCCTAAAACTGATCCGACCTTTGAAGTAAATTCCAGGCATTTTAAAAACATGACTTAGAAAACAGAAGTACTCCTGGATGAACTGTGAGGTTACTTCAAGAAGTAGCTCTACAGTTAGAGGTGTAAAAGATATAGGACCACTGGAAACAGTATTGGGGTATGTTGGGGGAGAAGCATAAAGCAGTGTGCTGGCAAAGTTTAGAACTGATGGAGAGAACAATACTAAAACCTACTAAACAGGTTTGCAAAAAAACAGTAAAGGCCACCAAACTGAGTAACTGTTGCAGATTCAGAGTCTCCAAAGCACAAGCATGTCCCACAGAACTGAACTTGAAACAGCATTTGCCTGCTGAATATTCAAGATAATAAGCAAAGCTAAGCTGCATTGATCATGCATGTTATTCATGGGAATGATGGAAGTTCTGCAAGAACGATGGGAATTTTATTATTATGACTGATGTTTAAAGACCGCATTTCCCTACAATGCCCTCTCTGCAAAAGGGCCAGGTTGCTGGCTACCAATTGCTGTGACAGCCCATCCCCAGAAGTATATTCTCTACTATAGGACCAGGCCGCTTAACTGTAATTCATGACAAGAAGATCATGCGTTGTATTCGTTTGTAGTGTGGCAACGCAGAAAGTATTCTTCTGGCAGCCAGCATTCTTGCTGATAGTTTCCAGATGCTTCTTTGTTGTAGCCATTTGAGGAGGCAACTGTTTGTGGCCCAAAGTTTAAACTAGAAGCAGTTGCTACAGCCAACTGCTGTGGACCATCCCTTATGGCAAAATGGTAACAGCAACCATTTTTTCAAGCACCAGCAGCACAATATAAAGGGAATCGAACCTTGTTTAAAAGTCTCTGCCCTTTTGAAGATATTCAGGGAGCCTAAGAGAGGAGAGCTGTTCAAAGGGATTGTACTGTTGAATGTTTTGACTAGAGCAAGTCCAACTACTCCTTTAATGATGCATTTATTCCTTGCTCCACCAACTCCAGTACAAATGCTTAAAGGAAACAAGAAATATTCAAAACACAAAGAAAGTTGTAAAAAAGACTGCAAATAAATTAAATTGGACAGGTAAACAAAAATTGGACTTGAAGACACTCCTGGCCACTGTATTTAAAATAAAATAAGGGAAACATACAAAGGCAAAAGTATTACAAAAATACTGAACACAATCATCAAGATGCCCCCACCCCCATTACACACAGATTTATCAAAACAGCCAACATATATGACAAGACAGTTTCATCCAGGTTATTGTTTTTTCTTCCATTTTCTTAATAAGGTTATGAAACTGAGACAACTTTAAATGGCACACACAATTCAGAGGAGCTTGTTTCTGATCAGACTGTGTGAAGTGTCTGCTTGAAGGCTTCTATCCTATGAAGGAGGACTGGTCAGCAAAGCACCTGACATCAGCGGCACTTCAAGAGTACAAGGAAGATGATGAAATCTGAGCTCTGATGAGAATTCCATTTCACTCTGCAGAGGTGGCAGCAACAGTACAATGCTAAGAATGATATTTCCGGTTGAAAAGGAACGGGTGCCTTGTGGACAACATAAGGCCATGCATCCCCAGTGAGTTGCAGAGATTGTCCTCTTGACAGATCAGCATTTTGGTTCTGCATCACTTTTTATGCCAACAATGTCACTACTGGTATGTGTATTATATTTGGCATTATCTGCACCCCAGTTTGGCATCTGCCTTCTCATATCTGTACCCTTCCCAACCAACCCCCATTCTTCCCTAGACAAAGTTTGCAAAGCTTTGTTTTAAAGGTACTTTGTGAGAGCCAGATACTATAGGCCGTGATGGACAAGTGTGTGGCCTGCACATAAACCTTAAAGAATAACAGGAGAAATCAGATGCATATGTGTGTGTATGTGCAGGGTAGGGTGAGGAGGAGAGTCTTTAGAATAAATTTTAGCTCTGAAAAATTTTAAAGTCAGAATTCACAAGCCTGTCATATGCCAGAACTGGAATCAAGCTATCTGAATCAATGCAGTTATGTCAGGACATCAAAGACTTCTTATGATAGAAGCCCACTGCTCCTTCTGGAGCACAGAGGAATTTTGTGCTTTTACATGGATGTTTGGAAACCTGTGTCAATACCAGAAGAGGGGTAAGTTATCACAAGGGTGAGGGAATGCAGCATGGCATTTTGCATAAGTTGCTGGGCACCCGCCCAGTATAATTAGGGAGTGGCATTTTACATCGACTGAGAGAAGAATAATGCCCTGACACAGCGTAGCAGGGCAGGATCAGTGGGTTTGGACATGGTATATTTTTCTTTCAAGCACATTGTTTTATCATCTCTGTTAAGTCTTTATATTTCCTCCACTCCGTGTGCAAATATCATTACCAGGCCTGGCTCTAGCACCATCTCCTCACCCATGTGCTGATTCTCACAGGCCATCACAACCACAGCCTGCTTGCCTGGGATGCGCTTGGCCACATAGTTTTCATAAAAGCGCCGATTCATCTGGCGAGTTTCTAGGGTGGCCAGACCCTGTGGCCAGTTCCGTTCGTGGGCATTTTCAATCAGCTCATTGATGATAGATGTGGGGCAACCACTCTCAACCAGCGAACGCTTGATTACAGCCTGAAGTACAGCATCTGGTGTAGAGATCATACCACCCCACCGCGTCACCCGGGCCGGCTGCAAGGAGTTCACCCACCTAGAAACCAATGAAAAACAATGTCACATATTTAGGAAAGGCAGTGTTTCAATAATACATAAAATCCGGAAGTGCTGCAGTGCAAACCTGGAGCAAAGAACTTGACTGTATTTCTGGTATTTACGAAGTCGCAACCCTGTGTGAGAGAACAATTGGTGGAACAGGATGAGGCAGGGACACTTGGCTCAATGGTTTGCAATTGGTCCACCTTTAAAGAACACTTTTCCCATTGGCATGGCCACCTCTTGTACATTATACAACATTCTGTGGCATTCCAAAATGTCCATTCAGTTCACACAGAACGCTGGTTAGGCCTACTGGTCTGCCTGTTGCCTTGCATGAGCTCTTTCCCAGAACACATCAGAAGATCAATGGGGATAAGAAGTTTTTCAAGCAGCCCATCTGTCATTACTGATCTTCTCTTTGAAGAACCTCAGATAAGCTCCCAAGGAGCCCCAGCGCTTTTGAAAATCACAAGTTCTGAAATTTAATATTTGGGACTCAGACACAGGAGGTCAGTTTCCAGCTCTGACACCAATTCCATTATTTTAAAATCATTTTGAAATGAAAATGTTGAGGCCTCAAGGCTTGATAATTAAAAAGCACTCTGCCAAAGAAGACTATGTGGAGGTTATAGCTAGTTCAGATGTTTAGCAGATGATTTTCTGCTGGATAAGACTTGAAGAAGATACTGCTGCCTACAGCCTGCATTAGAATTGAAACAGGTGAATCTGAGGACTTTAGGAAATCTAGAATTCCAAAAGGTAAAAGAGTTACTCTAAATACATTCATTGTTTATTTTATCTAAAATAAATCATACTCATACTGCAAACCAAAGGGAAGACAATGTCCTTAATCTTTAAAGCCTAGGGTTCCATCTACCTTCCTTACCTCTTTCCTTTTGTTACAGAATAAACTGATAGTACACATATGGTACTATGTTCAAAAAGAAAGAACATAGAAGAGATATACTGTATAATCATGAGATTCCCTTTCCTTGAGACATTTTCCTCAAAAAAGCCCATTTTACCATTTTTAGGGGCAGTATAAGATTTTATCTTCCCCATTTGGGCCTGGAGTTTGACAGCTATGGCCTCAGACTAGTTGGGAGTTGATTTAATGTATTATTTCAAATGTTGCTCTGAATATGATATCTGATGTGACCCTCTGAAATATAAATTTAAAGCGGTATCCATTTCTCTTCCACCAATTCTATATACATTGGCCAGCCAGTAAATGGTCAAGTGGCTGTATAGCCTGGGAACCGACTAACTTAAAGAAAGAAAAAAACCTTAGGACATGCTTTAAAAAGACTTAAAATTTCATATTCAACAACTGAGTCATTAGATTGTGTTGCAAAACTCTTCTTGAAAATGCTTGTTTTTAAAGTAGCAACCATTATGTAACTAGGTCACTTGTTTCTTAAAAAATAAAAAATATACATTCATAACCAACCAACTTCACTTTCAGTTTCATGGTTTTTGTTATTCTCAGTGAAGCCCTGCAATGAGGGCGGGGGGAGGTTTACATATTCCTTAACCAGCAAAAGCTGGTATAAAAGAAGATATTAGCTTGCCTTCTCTACATATTGTTTTATCCCCCAAAAATGAGCCTATATTTGCAGTGTAAGACATACAGTGATTTCTAGCAAGTGACACACTTTCTGCTTGCTTTTCAGTCATATTTCCCAAGACTATCAGTTCTTGGCTGATATTAAGCTTGCCCATTTCTGAACTGTCATCATGTTGCCCCATTTCTTATCCAACTACAATCAAGCACACAACACTTACTCTAGGATTTCATTATATTCAATAGTCTCTTCCAAATTCTGCAGGTTGGGGTTGACACTACGTATTGCTCGCATATATGCTTTCAACAGCTGAATGTCACGTTTCTGCAAAAATGAGAAAACAGTACAGCAATTAAACAAGATAGGCCAGATGGAACAAATGGCAAGCAAGATAGCACATTTCATGGAGTCAGGTTGATAATACCTAATCTATAGAGACTGCAAAAAATGACAACTCCTCCATCTTTGCACCTGTAACATATTGGCTCCCTATGCAGCTGGGAATGGGCAATTTTTCAGTTTCTCTCATGACTATGCAATTGGAAAGCTTTATACTTCTACTGAAGTCAGTGCAATAAAAGACTATCGCTTTACTACTGACCTTTAGAAAAGTCTATAGTCAATAAAAATTAAGGGAAAAGGCTCACATATTGTGACATGCTGAAAATACAAGCCACACATATATGGATTCTGAAATTAAAACATTTCTTTAAATATTCATGGGTACTAAATGTACCTCTACCAAGACTGAATTTCTAAAATCCATTCTGTTCTTCTCATCCAGTACAATTCAACAGCAACTATCAATTACAATACAATAATTAGAGTCTGTGTCTTCACTGTTAGGTCATCCAACCATAGCTGAAAAAGGATACACATTCTGCCAATCCAACTTCTAATGGGAGTTAAAAAACACCGTTGTACTAAAAGCCTTGGGCCATACGTGTACACAAAGGAGATGGATTCACGCTGGATTATGCTTTGCCTGATTCACACCTTAGTTGAAGCAATACTTGTATATGGCTAGTCCGTGAATCTTGACAGCTGCATATTTTCAGCACTTAAAAGACTCGCCAAGATCCTTGCTAGCAGGTAGCTTTGCTGCAGGGATACTTTTAAGAGGGAGCAGGTGCGCCAGGTATGCACTCCATGCTCCAATACACAGCATGCTGCAAAGTTTCATTGCCACAGAGACTGTTCATTCATATCCCTTTTAGTCTCTCGGAAAGACTGTGTGTGTGGTAACAGGGGAGGCCCCAGCATCACTCAAGAAGCCAGGCTTGGCACAGGAGTTGCCAGTCGCTGCCTGATTGCTGCTCTAAAAATGAGTCTCAGTAGCTCAGCCAAAAGGATCCAGAGACCTTACCACTGCAACGACAGCAGCACACTACAAATAATTTAACTCACTTTGTTTATGCACAACACTGTATACACATTCAAGAACTATTTGGTGCCTGCCATGTCTTTGCCTCAGTACTATAAGAACCAATTAAAATATATCACGTAACAAATGAATCCTGACAATCTCTGGTAAAAACAAGAAGTAGTCTGGCATATGAGACAGCTTCAAAGGGGGCTGTTACCTGCTCTGCCAACTGGTGCTTATGTTCTGCTGAAGTCTTTTCCAAATCAGCTATTCTTGACTGTTGCTGCTGCACCACTGACCGCAAGTGTTTGATGCAATTATGATTCGGCATCTCATCTTTGGGCATTTCCAAGCTGCACAGAAAAGTAACAGCAGAACTGAGGAGATGCTGCATATTACAAATGCAAATAGGCGAGTACCTTCCAACAGAAACGCATGTTCTGCAACCCAAGGACTATACTCTAAGCAAACTGAGGACTGAAATCAGTAGCCCCAGGTTACCAGCTGCAAGTACTGTGCAATTCCATTACACCTCACGCATCATAAATGCCCTCTCATGTTGAGTTTGACCAGGTGCATCACAAAACCAATGAGTCTCTCTTAAATAATTTCAGATTACACTGACACAGAGACAAAGCACTTCTGGGCTATGTGTAAGTCTGAGACTAAGCAATACATTATTGCTTGTTATTGGGTGGATTAAAATATTATGATGTCACAGTATCTTAGGATCACACCTGGCTCCGTCAGGCAGTACTCACCCACATCCCTGTTCACAAGTCACAGGCCGCTTTGGATTGTGTTCGCAGTCGTTGAGGTGAGACATCAGGTTGTCGAGTCGTACCACAGCAGTACAGCCAAAAACAGCGTTGTCACAAGTGATCTGCAGCTTAGACAGCATGTTACGCATGATCCGGGGAACAGGGCGCAGGTGAGCCACAGTTACAACGCTTCGATCCACAGGGCAAGTCTGCTGTTGGGAGAACCACTGGGTGATACAGGCATTGCAGAAGGCGTGCTCGCAATGAGGAGCCTGTGCAGAGAACGGAGCAAAACATGCCAGTTCAGGTTACATCATGTTCTCGTTACTGGATTGCTGCCTGTGTTCACATGGGCTTTTGTCCATTTTCCATGCAGTGTCTTTCACTGAATGCTTTGCACTAACAGAAGGGAAGAACATCCACTAATAATTTAAGCCTGCCCAAGCGACTAGTGGTAGATGGAGATGCTAGCTTATCCTGACTGTAACTTAGCAGGCTCTGAAGCAGAGAGGCAAAAGAACTGCCATCACTGAAGAGATCTGAAAAGAAGCTAGCACAGCTATTCATCTCAAGGCAGGAATCTCTGTATTTTAGCAGTCCTACTACAGATAAATTCTTGTTATTCCATTTCTGAAGTAATGCAAGAAGGTGCGCATTGACCCCCATGCAATGTGTTCAGCCTGAGAACAGATCGTTAAAATAACCCTGAAAGCTCAAACCCAGGGAAGTAGCATTTCAAGCCATTTGTACATCCAGTTTCTTGTGCAATTCCATTAATCCTACACTCCAAAACTGTTCATAATCACTGTCAATTTTATAGTTTGTATGTATTTTAATGCAAAAACCTGTATTGATACTTCCCAGTGTTCTATCAATTAATATGTGGTTCTCTAATTCTCACTATGCTTTCAGTCTCCTTAAAATGTCCCCGTAGTTTCTTTTTGTGTGCTCTAAGGGGCTTCCTGGATATATCGGGTGTACTGGGTATTTCAACATTCAGCCTGTATCACAGGGGTGGCCAAACTGGGGCTTGGGAGCCCCATGCAGCTCTTTGAGTTTACTTTGTGGCTTGCTGCTTGCTGCCACATCCTGCCCCCGGAGACACCAGCTTGCCACCTGACACTGTGGCCCACTTGCAGCTCTCAAACATGACATTTACCGTATGTGGCTCTTCCATTGAGCAAGTCTGGCCACCCCTATCATACACTCTCAACTGAGCCAGTCATCTAGCCAGTGATGGGCAATCCACTTAAGCATAGAAGGCTATAGCAGGTTTATCACACTGCAGCTGAATTGACAAAATATTTACTAATTAAGTATTCATTTTCAGTTAAAGAAAATGTTTAGCTACATTTGAACCAGGAGAACAGCACTGGTGGAAGAGATATAACTCATTAGGTTACAAGACTCTCCTATCTTTTGGGAAAGAGACTCCCGACATTTAGCACAGAAGGAAGTACTGGTAGTCCACAGATTAAGAATGAGTTCCATTCCTCAGAATGTCTTCAAGTCGAATTTGTAAGTAAGTCGGATCACTTGGGTAAATCAAATGTTCATCATATATACGTATCACCTTTCTATGTGTATAGGATACTTAAGAAATGCTTCCATATTCACTAAAACATCTTAAACACAATAAAGTACTACATATATTGAAGAGAGAGAATGTGTCTGTAGGTATACAATATTGTAAAAAATTCTTAAGTTTAGAACATTCTTTCAAATCAGAGTTTGACAGAGTTAAGCTAGCTCACTATCATTCTTACACAGATTATAAGACCACAAATATGAAGCATTTTGAGCACTTTAAAGTACTGTATGTTGTTTGTTTTTTGTTTGTTCATTTTCTGAATATATTTCTGAGTTGCCCTGCTAATTTACAATAAACCAGAAGAATAATAAAATGCCACAAAACTATACCTAAAACAAAACATAAAAATATTCAGAACGTACTTTCTTTTTATGGAATTGGGTAATATTTGCAGGCCTGCGGCCACTTTGGAGGGGATCAAGACTTCCACATTCCACTCAGGTGCGTGCATGCTCGCTCTCTCTCTGCTGTCAATTCAGCATCATTTCGCCATCTGTAGTATGGGCATATGCTAATAATGAGCTAGTTCCCCTTTATCCAGGCCCTCAACTGCTACAAGGTCATTTATGATAAAAAAAAGAACATGGCTGTACAAGCAACCTTTGATGCCTACTGCAAGAAAGTGACTTCAGTGGTAACCCCCCTCTCCAAAGCAGCACAATCAGACCCTGACTGTTCAGCATAGCTCCATCTCCATCAGCTAATGTTAGGCTTAATGTCACCTCATGGATTAGGAAGTTATGAATAAAAACAGGATTTCAAGCTTTACAACAACAACAGAGGAATAGGGAGAAGTTATCTGGGCACTTCTGCCCTCTCCAGAAACTGTTTTGCTGTGGTTCAGCTTCATTCTTGACGCCCTACGCATGTAACCTGAAATACCTCAGCAGATGCTTCAGCAGATACTGCAGAACAAAAAGCCAGGAATCCTGTACCCCTGGGGAACTAGGCAGCCACTGATGACATGATGTTGTCAAATGCATCATGTAGTTCCCTAGAAATAGCCGCAACTACTGTATCACTGGGGAACTATGTGGCCACTGATGACGCATTGCCAAATGCGTTATGTAATTCCCTAGAGATATTCAGGGCTTTTTTCTAGGGAGATTCATACAGGGTTTATGGCAGTCTGTGCATTCATAATTATGGGTTGTTTGTAACCAGGACGTTCCTAACCTGTGGATTACCGGTAAAGTTACTGCCTTACCATTCACATCATAAGGTGTTTTAAATAACTGAGAGAAGTATAAGCACATTCCTATGGCTTTACTAGTTATGTTTTGCTCTGAAAGCAAAACAAAAACAGGACCACATTTTGAACTGAGCAAGAATGGAGGGGCGAAAAATGTCACACTGGAGGTCACACTGAAATGCCAGTGTGGATAGTTGGATATCCCTACTTTAGATATTAGGAAGGAAGCTGCCTTTGTGAGGTACAGGATATTTTTATCTGCCAACTATGAAATTTTGTGTCTTCTCCACAAGCAGTTTTAATGCTTGTTAAATGGGATGTGGGGATGATGCCATCTGCTAATTCAAACCCAAATAAATTATGTCTACTCTCCAGGCTTCCAGCTTGAAATTCTTGAATTATAGCTCTTCAGCATATTTTATAAAATTGTTCTAGAAATTTTACTTCTAGTTTATACGCAGTATGACGGAAAGCACTGTGACAAGCCACACAAGTCAGTTTTACAGCATATGGAAATATTTATTTTGGCTTTCACCTTCAAACACTTTCCACTGAGTGAGGAATTAGTAATTCTGCTTGCCCTTATGGTTATACATATCAAGCATCAGCTGCCAACCCTCATCCATTTCATCGGTTAAAAAATTACTTCTACAAAGCATATTATCCACCTTGCAAAGCATGTAATTTTGCAAAGCGTAATTGCTTATTAAAGTAGTTTTTAAAATGTCTTATCTCTTATGATCTCATTCTCTAGCACCTAAGCAATCATAACAGTAGTTAGGGAAACAAACTTTTCCCTCATGAGGATTGAGTCAACTGGACGAAAATCCATGCTAGCCAGAACAATGTTTTACTACACATTCAAATCCCCAGCAAAGTTATTAATGGACTTTGCAAGTTTATTTAGCTCTTTTCTGGGAGTAATTGAAGGATTCCATTTTATAGAGGCAGCTGTCAACTGCATTATTTCAATTAACCTCAGAGTGCACAGTTCTTAGAAAGCACCGAACAAACAATTTTTGGATTAGTAAAATTCATGTTGTTGCTGTGTGCTCTGACTTATGGTGGCCCTATGAATGAATGCCCTCCAAAATGTCTTGTCCTTTGCAGACATTAAAAAACTAAGGTAAACTCCAGAATTCAAGGGCTCAGCAGAGTAACACTTTATAGGAGGATGTAACAGAAAATGATTCCTGTGTTCTTATATACCCTTTCATCCTGCGCCTTTCTTGGATTTTAGCCAATATAACTAATCATACAGGAATATGCAGCTACATATGCCTAAATTCGTAGACTCTGGAATTCACTCCCCAGGGATATATGGCTGGTGCCAACTCAGCTTTTAGATGCCAGGTGAAAACTTTCTTATTTAAACATGTTTTTGGTTAATTTAATTTAAAATAATTTTATACTTTTATATTTTGTTATGGATTATTTTAATTACTTTAATTTACTTTTTGCTACTTTATTGGCTGAATTTATTATGGTGTGTGTGGCTATATTGTATCATGAGATGTTATTATTTAATTGTTGTATTTTTATCTGATTGTTTCATTGTATGTATTTTATGCTGTTTTAGCATTTGAAAGCCACCCAGAGAAACTTTGGGTTATGGGGCAGCATAGAAATGGAAGTAAGTAAGTAAGTAAATGCACTATTTTTTGCAATCTGCTTGGTTATAAGGCAGCTACTCTAAGGAAACTATTCAACTACAATTCTGTGACTGGGTTCAGAACATCCTTGAGGCCAGAAAGACCATCTATGCCTGTAATAAGTGAACCTTATCCCAGAGTACCTAGGTGTGTCTAAGTAAAATACTAGCATACCGAGATAAATTAAAGTTTTTTGTAAACTAAAAGTTTCACCATTACATCTCTGCATGAGTCCTTGTGCTCATCACTTTCTATCTAGCTTTACTGAGCATACATTCCATATATTCCTTCACTGCCCATCTCTGCATCAAACACAATTGGATAGTTCCAACCATTCTTAGGGTAGAAACACTGCAGAATTACTCATCTACACAGCAGGCTTGCCTGTTGCATCTCTGCATGATCATTCACTCTGGGCTTATCTCCTGCTCTGAAGACCCAAGGACTGGGTTCACACAAGACAACAGTACATCATAGTGACAAGCCACTCTGAGTTGTCATGTCATGTGAACTCAAACCACTTTCTTCAGCATGGTATGAGTGCAACAAGCTATCCTGCCAGTGCACAGCATTCTTTAGGGGTTGCTGTACCCACAATATGTTGCTGCATTGTTCAAAGTCAGAAGATCACAGCAAAGTCAGAAGATCACGGCTTCGGCGAATGGGGCGGCATAAAAATGTTTTAATAAATAAATAAATAAATAAAAATAAGTGAACCACCCAGCAAAAATTGCAAAATATTCTGTCACTCTTGCTAAACTCCTATGGGCCGCTACAAGTGCCAGCCACCCCAAATGATATTAAAGTAACATCATGGAGTGACCATAACTGGCTCAATGTCTCTTTCCATGATGGCAAGCCACTTTTTCCAGAGATTACGCTTTGTGATCTCTGACTTGACAGCCCATCCAAAGTGACAAATACATTTGAGTGACTGCCACTGATTTGCCCCCTCAAACACAAAAAATTTGAGCAAGTTATTTTATCGATTAAAACATATTTAGTTGGACTTGCAAAAGTGCAGAGGTGTGTACACATGAGGGTCGAAAACAGGAAGCATTGCCCAGGCCATGTCCTGAAAGATGTCAAAGCACAGCAGGCATCAATCATGGGCACTATCCCAAAAAAGCTGCAGATAGGTCCAGTTTGTTTTTTTTTAATTTGCAGTCTCCTGACATGGGTCGAAACATGAGTTGTCAAGGAAAAGAAAAGACCCCAATAAACTTTGCTTGGATTGGGGTTGGTGGTCAGTATATCACCCTCACTGCAAGATGCTCTGGCTTTTTTGGTTGGTAAATGGCATTCACAGGAGCATGGAACTCTGATAGCTGTCAAAGCTGGGACTTCCTTTTAAATGGATTTTTTGACAGGGCTAATCCCATCTTTTTAAACAGGAATACATGTATATATGTGCGTGTGCATGTCCCTGTTAAAAATCCTTGCATGACCTTGCTTTCAAAGTAAATTTCAACAGCTCCTGCACATGGGATGGTTTGCATTTTTTTTTTACTTTCCCAAGCTCCCAGTGTGTCAGGAAAGACTGAAATGTTTGAGGACACTCTTCTATTAAACAAAGATCATTAGTGAGTTTGCTTTTGCTAAGCAATTCACTTTCTGACAGGTGTCCAATCTGGTATCCAATATACAAAACAATTTTTGTTCTGGAGCGTTACTTCTCAGTTCTTACTGTTACCCCTTTAAGATCTTTCATGACCTCACAATTCCGGAGTATGCCTGCTGTTTATTTGGATGGGAGATCCAGCAACATGCCAACTTATCAATGATTCTGTATTTGTGAGTTAGGTGACACTGAGGATACTGAATACTATATACTTCACTGCCCATTGCACAAGTCCCTAAGGTATAGATTTCATCATCATATTCTCAGCTCTCTAGCAAATAGATCTGTGCTGGACAAATTTGTATACTGCTTGTGGGCAATGATATATACATTCTGACCCAAGTTGCAAAGTTTGCCCTAGCTGCTAGAAAAGAGCTAGGCTGTACCCTGTGGTTTTATACTAAATCATGGACAAATATTATTTTACTTGTTTCCCATGGAATGGATGTTTGATTCTAATCATGCCATTTTAATTATATATTTTACTATACTTTTCTATGTTTTTACTGGTTTGTAACTTTATTGTATTTTACTACATCCTATTGCTTTGTTCTTTGAATCTGTGGTAGCTATGACTATGAGCAAGAAAGACTGGCACATAAATAAATAATAAATGAAAATGGATGAGCATGTGAATTTTCTTGCACTTCTACATTTCTAAAAGGAGATGAACCAGCAACAGGCCCTGCACTATGCCACTTATTTTGAAGGAGCTGTTACTGGTTGTCGACTCAGAAATTGTGAAGAGCAATCTCTTGGAAAGAAGCGGGGAGGAGGAAAGCCATGGGAGACAAAGGAAGAGACAAGGCAGCGACCAGGAAAGCAAACAAAGCCTCTAGGATAAGAGGCAGTTCGCCCAGTCATCTGTCAGGTGCATGTGGGATGTTTAGCAAACAATGCAACTGCTGATTATTTGCAGGGTGGCTTAGCAAGAAGTGTGAATACAGACACTGAGATGAGTGACTCAGGCAGACACACACAAAAGATGAGTAACTGTTTACTCACTTTAACATGTGCCTCCAAAGGTATGCTCAAACTATCAAAATTTTTCAGCCTACCATCTTACATATTAGAATCCAGCAAGGGACATTTTGCTGATATGTAGGTAAGTTTAACCTGAAGGTTAAGGCTCCTGACAATCACTAAGGTGTGAGAGAACGCATAGGTAGAGGCAATCTTTGATAAGTAATGCACAACATATGCTTAGTTCAACACAAGTCAGGAAAAACCCAGAAGTTTTTGGTCTGCTTCCTTCTTCATCCTCCCCAGCTTAATGGCATCTTGTCCAGTGGGGAAAAAAATCCTGCATTGCACTGATGGTTCTCCCTTTCAAAGAAAGATGGGATAAAAACAGACTAATGCTCATATTTTCACATGGGGCAAGGGACCAAAGCCAGCCAGCCAGCCAGCCAGAAAGGTACTTTTCTTGACAAATGCTTCTTCATGCAGATGTTACATAAGGAGACCAACTAGGACAAGAATAGTGTCTGCTAATTCCCACTGCAAAAATAAACCTATGCTCCAGTAGTTTCAGCCTCTCAAGAAACAGAAGTTTTTGTTCTAAATGTAACGTGACAAGTCCCAGCATACTCAGTTACACAAGTATCTGGAAGGTTCAGCTTCATTTTGGTCAACAACTAGCATGTTGCAGTCATACAGGGGTTTGTTTTCTTCTAACTATGCTTCCCAGCAGCTTTGCTGCCACCAAATAATTTTCTAATATAAAGTCAAGCAATCAGACACTCAGCAGCTGTTTAGCTTAATCCATTTTTTCAAGGATAACTTCCCAAGCAGAGAAATCAATCCCAATTCACTTTCAGCAATATATATAAGTTACTCTTCGCTATTGGTAAGAGAATCAGCAGTCCAATATACCTGGAATTAATTCACATATTGCAAGATCTTGACACAAGAAACAGACTGAAGGTTTACAGTCATAAGTGACTTTTGTGTGCTGGGGAAGGGGTGATGGTGCCAGGTGAATATATGCCTGGAAGGCTTAGCTAATCATGCTTACTAGCAAACACACACCCACAGTAAATGCTCACAGAATGGCCTGGCATGAAGGAATCTTGCAGTGGAAATATTAACTACTGCTTCAGTCAAGAAGTTAATAGCTAGGAAAATTGTATCTCACGCAGAGACTCAGGCACTCACAGCCAGTAATGCTAAGTCTGCACATGAAGAATCTTGCAGATCTTTTTCAAAGGAGAACATAAATTCCTGTAAGATTGCTGCTTAAACTGCAATTTTATAACAGTAGTAAAAGGCTAAAAAATTTTCTGCTAGCCAATGTGTTTTCAGTTCAGGAATGCTTTGGAAAATAGTACTGTAGAATTGCATGTATCAATGGCAAGGTTTTTCAGAAGCTATGTAAGTATGGCTTGCCTATGTAGGGTGTACATAACATATATGTCTGGAATTCATTTACATTTTACAGTGATACACTGGAGACCAAACCACATTTTTTTCTAACATTGCTCATACATACAATGAGCAATGTTACAAACTAGCTCACAAACACAGTTCTACATTTTTACTTTGAAAAAGCCGCCAGGGATTGCAAAGGATGGAAGAGAAACTGTGCCTTGATCATCTATATTAAACTTCCTATCATTGTGTGAACTGCCTTTCATTGGATACAAAATATTGTTAGGTTTTGCATCCTATTCCATTACTTGACATGATACAAAATACTCTGATCAGTGTTCAGTGCTTACATTTGTGCTCAGATCGTGATGTTTAACAGACTTTAGTAGCATTTGCAAAGATTTAACTTTCTTTTAGGAATGGATTTTAAATCACAGAAGTATGATTTTACATTATGATTGTAGAACAGAACCTTAGAAATTAGAAAAGCGAACCTTTCTATGATCCTGTTGCAATGTTTAGCTGTGTGACTGGCAAGGTAAGATCTAGCATAGAATTTCTGTAGATAATCTCCAGTATTCCAATCACACCAAACTACCAAAAAATTTTTAGGCTGACCTACCTGCACTGGCTCCTCCAAGACACCACTGCAAATGGGGCATATAAGATCTTCATCAACATCCCCTTGAAAGCGTGCTACATCATACCCCATTTCTCATCACCGATGCCAAACCCCTGGAATAAGCAGAAGCGGAAAAACAGTGGAAAGATCAGCAGAGAACTTTTGAACTTCTGCCACAAAAGGTACCAACAACGGATCCTGCATATGTCGAGTCAGTTAAAAGTCATTCATTTGGTTAGGCTGCCTATCTACTAACCTAATATACCTGCATTCTAAGCATGTAGATTCACAGACAAGCTCCAAGCGTATGAACAGCAGGGTGTGGTACACAGAGAGACTAACTCAAATCAGCCTCATGCTGTGCACTGAATTACTCCACAATTTACCTGCCTCCTAGCACCAAATTAGACATTTCCCTCTAGAATATGTTATTATTTATCTCTTCAGTTGCATTTTTAGTTCCACGCCTTGGTGTTTTGTTTTGCTTTGTTGTTGTTCTTGGTTCTGTGGAACATCTTTAAAATATGAGTGATGACTGCCTAGATTTTGTACCAAGTTATAGGGCAGGTACTGGGGAAGAACGTTAGCTCTATAGCAAGGTCAGCTGATGGAAGCCTTAAGTGCTTCACACCTGTGTTGTAAGCCTGTGCTGTAACTCAGGTTTCTCCTCTTTGTACTTCTTTATTCTCCAGTGCACTTCCAGTAAGCAAAACCAACCAAATTTCTGAGCATGCACAGAGCAGTCGAACCCAATCTAGCAACTACTTCCAAAGATTCTCCTTTTGAGTACCCCTGGGGCCCCTCCCTCAGGGATGTCCTTTTTTAGAGATGGGCAAGCCGCTTCTCTGTCCATCGCATCTCTAGTTGGTTAGCCCAACTCTCCCAATGTCACATCATGGGGTCAAGAGTTGTGCCAGGCTTGGCTGGCTGCAGGAGTTCTTCTCCCATACTCTCTCTTTGCAGTTGTAAATCCTAACTATTCAACATTTACCTGAACATGGGGAGGGTGCCCTTGAGTAAGCCCTTCTGCTTTTCCCAGTTGAATGTCTGAGAATTCTGATTCCTAGAGCCCCTCACCATCTGACCAGTCTGTATCTGCCTGATCTTGAAAAGTGCACCAAGAATTGCTCCATTCATTTCCAACAATCTGTCTATACAAGCAAGAATCAAGAAGCTATAGGTAGCTTGGAAACCTTGCTGAAAAACAGAGCTGTCTGAACTACTTCCACTCACAAGAAGATTGGACCTCCTTTGAGAGCAGGAAATTAGGGACATAAGAAACTGCCTTATACAGGGTCAGACCACTGGTCCCTCTAGCCCAGCACTGTTAACACTAAGTAGCAGCTATGCCTCTTCAGGTTTCAGCCAGGATTCTTTCCTAGCCCTACCCAGAGATGCCTGGAATTTAACTGAAGGCAAGTATGTGCTCTACCACTAACCTATGACTGCTCCTCTTTGCATTGGGTGAATTGGATCAATCATTCCCAATGTAGAACTAGCATAATTATCTTCTCTCAAGAGGCATTAAGGTCAACCAGACTCACAACAGACATTTAATGTATTATGTTTTAACTCACATGGTTTGGAAATGACTGACACATAGACCTTACAATAATTGGAGCATAAACTCTTGGGACTAACTATACAGCTTGCTTATTGAAATCCACCTTCCACAATGTAACCTCTTAATTCCATGCTAAAATACAAGCTGCCACCTTTTTACACCACTGAAAATAGGTTGCTGTGAGAAAAAGAGAAAGAATGTCCATCTGTCTATCTGCTTAGTTTTACACACTGCCAAATTAGGACATAGGAACTGGATCCCCAATATCTGACAGGAGCCCAAGTTCTATCTAGAGTTGCTAAGATTAAACCTGAGACTGCCTGTACACAAAGCACGTGCTTCTACTACTGCATGGCAGCCTTTGTTCATTAATGGCACAGCTAATCACAGGGTTACCAAGATGAACTTACCTAAAGAATTGCTGTGGGGATATAAAATCTGCCCTGACACTACCCAATAAACCCAGTGATAAACTTGCCAAAATAGATTTCCCAAATCTCTTTCTTTCTCACATACATACTCTACTTCATTTCACCCACAAAAGCTCAATGGCAATCTTTTCCAACAGGTCTATGTGTATTGTGGCTAGTTACAAAAGCACATTTAGACTTCGGAGGCTTTTCTTCATTAAACCATGTACCTTGGCAGAGTACAAGTAAATTTTTAGCTTAAGGGCCAGCATCTATCAGCTTATTTACCTTCTGCAAGGTAAGCATACAGCCATCAATATAAAAGGATTAGTTATCCAGTTTTCTCCAGGCTATTTCAAATGATTTTCAGCAATCTTGGAATATTTCATAATTGGGCTTCACTCATTTCTGTTCACTCAGGAACCACCTCCTAAAATAACACCAAATGTGGAGATGACATTGTCCTCTTAGTTATAAGTGAAGTCAGCTTCCTAGATAGAGCTTTAACTGCTTGAATTATGACATCAGAAGAGTAGTGACTGCTTCCTTTTTAATCATTTGCAAAATGCAGTCCTATTGGCCAAGATGGCTTTCATTTTATTTATTTATTTTATTAAAACATTTCTATGCCGCCCCATTCGCCGAAGCCTCGGGGCGGCTCACAACATAAAATTAAAATATATTACATACAACAAATTAACAATATAAAATAAGTCGCTCTGGCCAGATAAAATAAGCAAATAATATTAACAATTAAAATGACATTTAAATAAAAAGGTCTTCGCCTGGCGCAGAAAAACAAATAACGACGGCACCAGGTGGACCTCTCTGGGGAGTGCATTCCATAGATTGGGCGCCACTGCAGAGAAAGCCCTCCTCCAAGTACCTACCCTCCTAATTTCTTTCACGGAGGGTTCCTGGAGAAGGGCCTCTCCCGCAGATCTCAAGGGGCGGGCGGGCGTATATGGACGTAAGTGCTCCTTCTTTTAAGATTCTAAACTAGTGTGACATATAATTTATCCCATGATAGTAGCAATTCAAGAAGTGGATCATAAGCATTACCAAAAGCAATATCTAAGTATGGAAACAAAACTGCATCCAGACATCTCAAAGTACTTTAGAACCGTGTTCTCATTTCTATTTTTACAGATAGAGGAAACCAAGATAGAGAGAAACGAGTGATCCAGGACCAGAAAGCAGACAGAAAGAGTAGTCCACATTATCAATTTAGCAGCATGACCGCCAGTTTAATTTGCTTCTTGTATGAGTTCAGTCCATACATCAATGAATATTATTTCTACTAAATACACAGATTAAAAAGGAACATTTCTAATAAGAAGGCTCTGGTAACAATGACTTAAAGCTTAGTAATCAAATCCAGCATTTAGGGCATTTCTCCCTACTTATCTCTGTAAAACTCAGAGGGAATGTTGATACAGATGAGCCTTGGATGCTTGACTTAAATAGACAATGGTGAAAGAGGCACATACAAAACAGCAGCACAATGAAAGTCTGGAATATAAGATTCACAGCCAAGCAATATATTTTGGCTGGGTCAATCTGTCTGCAGAGCAAACAACAGCCAACCAAATCATCAGGTGTTCATAGTTTTTCTAAGGAATATTCAAATTAAACATGTCTGAAAGAGAAAGCAGCTTCTGAGCTATGTCAAGTTCAAATCAAATTAAACTTGCTTAGCAGTTGGTGGAGCTTAACCACAAAAGAGTAGATCTTGGGGATCCTAATGCCAACTGAAATTGATGGAATGAACATTATTATTACTATCTGAATATGTCAAAAGCATACACCAGATGTACATAAACTTATTTTCATATCCCAATTTTGTCTCTCAAAGCTATTGATCTAAAGATTAAAAATTATCTAACACAGCACACCAGCATTTTTTCTGGACTGCAATCAGACTTGAATTTCAGGTTTTTAAAATCCAACAGAATTGTTAACATTGTCAGCAGTGCAGCATTCATAGCACAGGAGAACTCTGCCCAAGATGGAACTAGTAAATAAAATACCACTACTGTTTAAATTTATTGTCATTATGGTACTATTTTAAATGTGTTTGCAACAGTGTATCTAAGCAAAAACTTTATTTCTGCCCAGGGAATCTATTCCTTGTATTAAATTCTCAGACACTTTGAAACTGAGAATGAAGTTATATTTTTCAAGGAATTAATATTAAGAGGTCCAAAAACACACTACTGAGATAATCTGCTTTTACCAGTTATGTTCTTATAAAAAACTGCTTACTTTTCAGATTAGCCAGATGCAATAAATAAAGCCAATATTTTATAGAAAGATATATGAATATCTATGTCCTATTGTGGTCCTCATGACTCAGAGGCAGCCAACAGGTTGAGCAGATTCAAAGAACAAATGTGTAAGTCCCTTTAACAGCTGCATAGAAGAAACTGTGATATCTGTAGCTTTTCAGAGGCAAGAAGCTGGAGCTACCAAAATTACTCCATTCAACTAAAGATACAAAAGCCTAGCCTTTCAGTGTAAGTAACCTATACTAACATTCCACAAGGCCACAACCTTAGCTAACAACTGGGGGTGGGGGAAATGTTCTTATTAGTTCCAAACAAGTTTCCAGATTCCATTCCCAGCTTTGAAAATGATTCATTCATGCAGTCCCAAGATGTCACTTTATTTTTTTCTGCTTTTATAAGCAGGCATAATAGTTAGCCAAGCGATACAGAGATCTTCAAAGTCATTAATGCTTCCAACTAAATAGACTAAGATAAATACCCATAAGGCCAAATTCACTCACTTTGGGAATCATCTTTGCTTTACAGAAATAAGGTGGCCTAGCTTGTTCTGTACACAGAACAGCAGCAAAAATAACACAAAACAATAATTTGGTGCTTGGGTAAGTTTCCTAACAGACTAAAGCCTGCAAAATGTTTGGCTAGCAAAGTTACTCCATAAGAACATTCCAATGCTGAAGAACTCTAAAGCCTTTTCAGCACAATTTGAAATCTAAGTAGCCAAACCTTGGTCCAGCACAACCACATCAACCTGTCAAGTTTGTGCATGGACTGAAATTCCACCAAGTTCAAACTTGGCCATTATCTGTGAAACCACATTTTGTACAATTTTAAAAGTGAAATGGCTTTAAAATAAAATCATAGAAAACTTTATTACTATGCTTTGATGCTGGGGTGATGTACAGCAATCTTAAATGAGAATGGGAAAATAATCCAAGAGCTACGCCTCTCGTATCAGTTGCTAGAGTGCTGATTCACTCATGTACTGCTTGTGGGTTTCCCCACTGTTGGAAGATAATGCTGAACTGATTAGGTCGTTAGAGTTAGTAAAATGAAAAGTTACTAGCGCTTGCGGGCTCTGATTTTCAAAATGTACTTTATTACACTGATGAAGTTTGAAATTAGAATGTATTCTTCAGGGACATTTTAGTAATATAAAATCTGCAAAGCAGCATTGAGGATTGGCTGAATACACATTTTCCTATTTTATTTTGGACCAGCCCTCCCTATGTACCATGCACAAAACAAAGAGCAATTCTGTGGTAATCAACTTGATAATAAAACTCTGTCTTTTTGTAGTCATGTCAAGATCAATATGGACACAGGGGGTTTTATTTTTTAGTCTTTCCAGGGAGCTTCAAAGAAACACCACTTATTTTGGTATGACATGGAAATATGTTGCGTGGCACAGAAATTAAGACAACCAAAGCTTTTACTAACCGCTGTTGCAAATGCTAATTTAAGTCAGAAACAACAAGTTAATGCTGTCATAAGTAATCACTACATTAGCCTCAAAACAAACTACACACACACACACACACACACACACACACACACACACAGAGGTATTCTGCATTGTTTGGGTCACAGTCTTATAGCTAAGCTCATCACCATAAAGTGCATCATGCTTCTGTTTTTTGTAGTCAAATTCCATCATGTGACTGCAATTCAGCAAGCATCAGCTAATGCAACTTAATGCCTGTACAGCTGCATAAAGCTTTTAAACTTCCATTTCCATGCCAACAAGAGGAAGGAGAAGGATCCGAATGCTACATTTAAACATAGTTTGAGAGGAATACAGGAATCTGAGCATCTTTTTTGACAAGACTGTTAAGTGAAATACTGCTGCTACTTGTATCTTCCAATAACGGTACTGTCAGTAACTTTGATTTCTAAAGGAATACAGGTACATGGATGATGGTTTATTCCTGCTATGCATTGCAACTTAATGCTATGAGCCTAAAGCATGGGTCCTCAAACTACGGCCCGTGGGTCGAATGCAGCCCACCATGCCCATTTATCCAGCCCACCTCAGAGGTTTTGGACTCACCGTGCCCACTGCTGCCCACCTCGCCCCGCATGCGGCTGCCACCGCCTCACTGCACGCACGGGGAGGTGGCGGCTTGCTCGCGCAGAGATCATTTTGGACTCGGTCAGAGAAAACGATTTCCAAGTGAGCAAGCTGCTGCCTCGTTGCCTGCCCGCTGCTGCCTCTCTGTGCCCGCACACCCTGCCCCCTCGCTGACCCGTGTGCGCCGCCAGCACCGCCTTGCCGCCCAGTACCCACCACCAGCACCTCTCAACTGGCCCCCTGTTGAAAAAGTTTGAGGACCCCTGGCCTATAGCTCACAAGAAGCCTTCCATTTTGGCACTGTAGGAAAAAGCTTGCAAGATAAAATTATTAACATTCCAATTATAGGGAGGAGGTCTACTTGTGCAGTGGGATTTTCTCCCTCCCTTTCAGTCTCTTGGAAATCGATAGAGGGTTCTCCCACAGGGAGACAGGAAAAGTCATCCCCCTCACAGCTCTACTGATGGAAACAGTTCCTCAGTGGAAAACCATTACTAAATTTTACCCATACATAAAGAAAGGGTTTGTTTTACAAATAATAGTGTTCACTGATTGATATATTCTTTGACAATTTTATTCTGACATATCAAAAGCTCCGTGAAAACCACCAAGTCTATAAATAAGAGGCTGGTGTCCATAACAGTAACACATACCTAGCTCATGGCCTGCTGTTGTGAATTTCTAAAACCTGTAAATAAAAAATGAAGCAGTTTGATATAAAGTTACAGAAACGCCTGCTTTTCTAGAAATATGATTGGCATGTGCTTTGTGGCTGACAATCATTTATGAACACTGATAAGCAAAAGTATTTAGCAGTGGTGTTTCCCACTCTAGTGTAGAAACTTTTCCCTATGCTTCCAATTATTTATGCCATGTACTTCATAACTGCTAAATAATCAACTGTTTTCATTAGTAAGTCATTTGCCTTTCATTCTAGATTGAGAAAATTCAAACACTGAGAAAGCGTAGCAGTCAAAGTTGTGCCTGTTCTTTAGGATGAAGCGTGTTTCCAAATCAGGCTTTAAGGTACAAGTACCCCACCTCATTCACAGAACCTTAATCAGGATGGAGTAGAGAGAGATAATGACAACATTTTGCAACCTGTAGTACAATTGCATAACATATTTTGATTCAGTACTGGTAGGCACCCTCCATCTGGAAACAGTCAGGAAACAGGCTGTTATCCTAAAGCTAGGGGGATCAGAGGACACAGTGCCCCAAACTGTGTAACAGAGCAAACTAAAGTGCTGCATGCTGTATTACTGGGTCATGGTGTATCCCAATATTACAGCCTCACCTTCTCTTCAGGCAGAGAAGGCCCACAGGGGACCCAAACCAACACTTACAGCTAAGGGCAGTATTTGACCAGCAGCTGAGATGCACAAAACCCTAATCTACCCCAAACAGCTAGGGTGGAGTTCAAACCTATGTTCTTAGCATTATGGCACCATAATCTGAACTACTGCTCTGCACTTCATGTGAATAAGAGCCAGTGTGGTGCAGTGGTGAAGAATGTGGGACTGGGATTCAGGAAACCAGGGTTCTAGTTCCCACTCAGCCATGTAGTCAACTGGGTGACTTTGGGGCAACCACAGACTCAGCCTAAGCTACCTCACAGGGTTATTGGGATGAGACTGAGAGACACAGGAAGAGAATTATGTAAGCTGCTTTGAGTTCATAAGAAAAAAGCATGATATACATCTATTAAATAAATAAATATCCATTACTACCAAGAAGAAAAAGAAGCACATCCTCAGATAAGGCCATCCTTTCCATCTCTGCATAAATCATTGCTTTGGGCTTGCTTCCATCAAGTCAGGAGACTTACTTTGAATTGTGACTCAATCTAAAGCAGAAGATAAGGGCAATTCTTATTTTCACCTATATTTTTGATGTGTAAGACAACTTTAATTCAGAAAAAAGCATGCTGCAGCTGTAAGAAGTATGGGAAGATTATCTTATTTAAGAGTGACTTTCTTGGTATTGCAGCATAAAATTTTTTGGCTTTTCTTTCTTTTTTTAATTTAAACCGTCCAGGCACACATGAAGGAGTTTTGTCCATAAAAAAAAGTAACAAGGCATGAAGCAAAATACGTAACAAAACCTACATTACTTTTTCTTAGAAGCTATAAGGCTCACTGTTAATCAAGAGATATGTAGCACAGTCAAGTTCAAACCAAGATCAGTGGGGTGTTCTAACGTAACCCCCAGAAAGGCTAGTTTAATGCTGAACCCTATTTTGTTATAGATGCAAATCAAAGGTGCAATCTTCTAGCACAATCCTATCTTTCTTTTACAAGAACAGAATATATATAGAACTCAAAAGGTAAGTGAAAGCACTGGTATGCACTCATTCTCCTTTCTCATGAGGCTTCCAATCATGCTAATGTCCTTTTATGCACAGCAAACCTTTCACTGGTGTCATTTGGCACAGAAAGTCATTATATAACAGGCACGGTGCTACTGGCGCCTGCATCCTGTGTCTTCAAGTTCCCTGCCTCCCAGATTTCAAAGGAAGGAGAGCCATTCTTGCTTGCTGCACAGGAATGTTATCAATTATAGAAATACAAGACAGAGAGCTTTGAAATATTCAAGTGCCATGCTAAAGCCATTCTGACTCCAGAACTTTGCAGTTTGACGATAACATTAGAGTAGTTAAACCAAGCTAATCCATCACAAAGATTCAGAAATATGGGCCTTTTGCCCTAAAACAAGTGATCCACTTACTCTTGCTGGGAAATATGTTCATACTACATTAGAAAATACCCTTTCAAATAAATTGTCAGAGACAGGAATAAAGTAGATCTATGGGTTTGGTATGCAATTTCTTCTGGCATTTCCTAGAATTGATGGTTTTTCCTCAAGTTTTAGAGGGTCTCTAAGGAAACACATAACTCAACATGAGTTATTCCCCAACATATTTACTATCAAGACAACTACTGATAGCCACCTCTTATCTCACATTTTTCTTTTTTCACCACTAAGCCACTGGTGAAGCCCACATAATCCAAGCTCTGGAATTATTTGTAGAATGAAGTTTAGCAGTTGTTTATATGGTTTAGAATTAGACCACCTAGAGTTTCAACCAGCAACAAACTATGAGTTCACCTTTGGGTTATTCAAGTTCCAACAACTCAAAAGAGTACCATGTTTGGACATAACTGACAACCCAGGAATGAGGCGGCCCTGGCTTGTTTCAGAAAACAGATGTTAAGATGTGAATGCATGAGTCAGCTTGCTTGATCCTGCACAATCCTGCCAGCTGGCATTATGTGTGAACCAGGTCAATATAAGGCCCATCTTAACCTATCATAAGCTCAAATAAAGAAAAACAGAAGTCAGTCCAAGAAACATTAATGTCATTGCATGTCCCATCTTGTCACTAACCAGTTAAGGGCAGTATCAGGAGAGTTTACATAACAAATATGGCTGGAGATAAGTCTCTTTTTACACAAAGAAATGATCTATATGCAGAAAATATCTTCTGTACACATGAACTATTGACAAGTCCATTCTTGAAAACCAACTCATTATTTAAAAGCTACTTCCCCTTTGTTATCACTGAAATCAAAGTCATGGCTTTGTGTTTTAAATAGAGGTTGCACTATAGTTCCCATGTAATAAACGTTTTCATTTTATACTATTTCATGAAAGCTTTATGATAGTCAAATGTACTTTGTATGAACACATTGTTTCTCTCTAAAGAGAAATGCTGGCACTAAACAGAGGAATGAGAAACTTGTTTTCAAAGAGAATGACAGATCATTTTAGCATTTGTACAATTCAAACATATTATTTACACAGTGCTGAGCAAATTACTCCCAAGAGTGATTACTTTTTAGAACATCATGCTTCTGAAACCAATAATGACACCAAGTTGAAAATGTTGGGAGCAAGAAAGCAAGTCAGCTTCCTGCAAAATACTCAGATTCATCACTACAAGCCTCAGTCAGGAAAATAGCACCTTTTATCTCCTTAGGCAGATAAAAAATAAGTATTACTGGGCCACTTATCTTCATTTACTATTACCTCTGCATAATCAGATCAAAGTGAAAGGAACTTTCTGAACCAGAGAAACAAGAAAGCAAAAAGCTTGTAGATTCTTGTATCACTCAAATCCTAATCAAAAAATAAATTTAATCTCAAACAGACCACAGAAATATTTTATTAATTGACCTCCTGCATCACTCACTCATTCATACATTTATAGCCTCCGTTCTTTCCTCTTGCAAGGAACCCTAAGTAGCTTGGGAGTACTAAAATGGGATAAGGAGATTGCCAAAAAGCTGAATGAATTCTTTTCATCTGTCTTCACAGCAGAAGATTCATAACAGATATGCACGCCTGAACTGTTTTCAAGGAGGAATTAAGGCAACTAGTGGTCTAATGGTCTGAAGAATTAAGGCAGATAGTGGTGACAAAAGTTCTCAACCTCACTGACAAATTTAAACTTAATAAATCATGAAGCCCAGATGACATCCATCCTACAATTCTCAAAGAACTCACACATGAAATTTCTGACTGTCTTACCAAAATGTTTACTATATCCCTAAGATCAATCCTCTATACCAGAAGACTAGAAGATGGACAATGCCAAACCAATTTTTTAAAAGGTATCGAGAGAGGATCTGGGAAATTAAAGGGTCATTAGCTTAAAATCTACCCCAGCTAAATTACCTGAAAATGTTATTAAACATAATATTAGAATGTATACAGAAGGGCAAGTCTTGCTGAAAAAGAATCAACATGGTTTTTGCAAGGTAATCTTCTTTCACTAACTGTTAAGAGTTATTTGAGAGTATCAACAGACATGTGGACAGGGGTGGTCTAGTAAACATTGTTTACTTTGACTTCCAAAAGGCTTTTGACCAAATCCTTCACTCTTGAGCAAACTTAACTGTCATGGAATAATACAGGTCTTCTTATAGATCAGCATTTGGTTAAAGAACAAAAGGCACAGACTAGGAATAAAAACTAAGATTTCTCAATGGAGGGATGTAAACATTGAGGTCCTACAGGATTCTGTATTGGGACCAATACTTTTCAGCTTACTCATAACCAATCTGGAATTAGGAGTGAGAAGTGAAGTGGCCAATTGTGCTGGTGACACCAAAATATATAGGATGATTAAAAAAAAGTGATTGTGAGCAGCTTTAAAAAGATCTCTTCAAACTAGAAGAATGGGTATTAAAATGGCACATGCAGTTCAATGTAAGCATGTGTAAAGTGATGCACACTGGGGAAAAAACAACTTCAAATAGAAGCTGATTTGATATGAACTAACCAAGGTGGAGGTCTTAGGGTTGTGGCAGACAGCTCAATGTAAATGTCAACCTAATGTGCATTTGCTGTGAAAAGTACAAACTCTGTGTTAGATATAATTAGGGAAGGCACTGAAAATAAAACTAGCAATCTCATACTGCCCTTATCAGTATTGGGGACTCAAGTCAAGTGATTTGCTCCCAAGTCTTATGCAAGATGCATCAGCAACTCAATTTGGATTTGATTGGGAAGCACTGAGTGAGTGATTTGACTTGAGATTTCTGCATTTTTTTACAACTGAGTCAGGAGTCAAGGTCTACATTTTTTACAACAGTGAGCTTACCATGTGGGATGGTGGTAAGGAGGGAGTTTCAAGAGGGTGGGGGCAGGACTGGGAGGAGGCGTTGCAATAAGGGGAAGGCAAGGTTTAAGATCTTCTTTTTGGCATAAGGGAGAGTGGGGGGGCAAGGAGGCAGGACAGGGAGAGGGTGTTGCAATATGGCGGAAGGCTTCAGCTCTTTTGGGTGCACTTGATTCTCCTTAGCAAGGAGCACAACAGCGCTTCTCCTGCCTGCTGCCTCAGTTCTGCTCCCATGCATTTCCAGGGAGGAACAAACAAAAGCAACTTTAAAAAATCACTGGTCATGGAGGGTGTCTTCAAAAGCGGGTGTGTGCTGTATACTCTGCTAAGCCATTGAAAGTGCAGATGGGAACATCAGGGAGAGTACAACTCTACCCACAGCACACACACTCAACCACTGCTTCCCGTTTTTCTGTTAAAGTTGGTTCTTGAGACTTGAGACTTGGCATAAAAGACTTGAACACATCACTGGCCCTTATACAACTCCATGATGAAACTACACTTTAAATACTATATATGGTTCTGATCACCACACCCAAAAAAGGATACTGCAGTTTTGGGAAAACTACAGAAAAGGGCAACTAAAATTATCAAGGGGCTAAGGCAACTCCCTTATGAGGAAAGTGTACAACAACTGGAATTCTTTAGATAGTAAGGATGTGTAACATAATGCAATAAATTACAGAATTATAATAGTGTGGAAGAAGTGGATCAGTAGATATTTTTCTTCCTCTTTCATAATACTAGAACCAGGGTTCACCCATTAAGTTAATTGGTGGGAGATTCAGGACGTATGAAAATAAGTCCTTCTTTACACAGGAAACAGTTAAACTATGGAACTTACTTCCACAACATGTAGTAATGGCCAATAATTTGGATCGCTTTAAAACAGGACTGGCCAGATTCATGGAGGAGGAGGCTAGTAGTAGCTGCTCATCCAGATGGCAACATATGATCTGAGTCAATGTGCACTAGTTGCTGGCGAACATGGGTGGGAAGGTAATATCCCACTCATGCCATGCTTGTGGAATCCAATGGGCAGTTGGTTTGCCTCTCTGTGAATAGAATATGGGACGAGATGGACCCTTGGTCTGATCCTGTGTAGCTTGTCTTGTATCCTTAAATCACCTAGTGAAGTAGTTAAGCTAAGTGACTGGCCCAAAGCACCTAATGAGTCTCAGGTCTCCTGAGTTTCATTCCAACAACCACTATGCCACTCAGGCTCCTTTCCTTGTTGCAATATACTGGGAGGGAGATACCTGTGGCATTCCAGATGTTGCTGGATTATAGCTGCCATCATTCTGGACCACTGGCCATGCTGGTTGAGGCCAGTGGGAGTGGACGTCCAACAGTTGCTGTATATGCAATCTTTCTTGACTACTATGACCATGTGCCTTGATGCTCAACTCACTATTATGATGTTCAGTTAAATTACTTTGCCCTTTCTTACATTTTTTCTCATCTCATGTTATGTTCCTCACTTACCCTTTCTCTTGTGCTTGTATCTCTTCAGCTGTCTTTGTCCTTGTTCCCTCTTTTTATTCCTTTTGTATGCAGCACTTTCTTATGCTCCTTTTTTCTACAGACTTAATAGCTAAGATTGTATCTTTTAGTTTTCCTCCCTAATAGTGTACTCTATCTTGAATTGTATAGCTCTTTATCAAATGAGCATACCTAAATTAGATGCAGTGCTCAATCTCCTTACTTCTTATTTTAGCATGATTTGGATCACTGTGCCCTTTCCTTACATTTCCTCAAAACACAAACAAACAAACAAACAAACAAACAATATAACTGTGGTGTGCTCTTCCTGACATCCACAGCCAGAGACCTGCTAGCATAGCTCCTGAATACTCTGGTCAGAATTGGTACTGTAGCAGAAATTATTTGTCCAGGAAGAGGAAGCCACATTCAACACATTCTTTCTCCTCAGAAGTGGCAAGGCTTCTTGCTAGAAATTGTAACTATTGTCTAATGTGGTAGAGCAAGTATCAGTGAGATTAAAATGCATGTCATTTCAAAAACTGAGCAACTGTAAAGAATAATTTTAGGAAAGTCTCTGTCAGAGCTTAATTTGAAAAATGCATGTTCCCTAGCTCTGTGAAAGTAACCGTAATAGTCCTGTGAACAGCCTATTCTGTAATGAACAAAATCTACTGGTACTTGATTGCCCACTGGAGATTACAAGTAAATGTAATAAGGATAAAGATTCTAAACATTTATACAGTAGCTCATTTCAGTCAGCAGATCTTTAGGAAGCTTTCAATTCTAAACAATTCTAAAGTATCACATGTCAAAATTAAAAACAGAGCATAAATACGGATCTATTCAAGAGAAAAGCATCCTACTCAAGATGTCACTTGTTGATTTCCAAAAGAATGTATGATATGCCACAAACTGAACCTTTAAACCTATTTACTTGAATACATAGCTATTTTGGGATTTCAAGACACAGAGACATTAATACTTTTAATAAATTAGAACTACTCTGAGCTCTGAAAAAATAAAGCAAAACTCTATTACCTTCTGTAGTAGACTTCCTTCCTGAAGAGCAACAAGACAATGCTGATTTTGAGGTACTCTTTTGAAAGCATCTGACACAGTGGCCCATCTTCTTCCCTCTTCTCATTCAGATCAAGTCATCATTTTGTTTTGCAGCCAGAAACTGTAGCCATGAGAACAAATAAATGGACAGTAATACCAGTCTTGACATGAAATCAAAAATACTGATTAAGGGCAACAAGGCAAAGCATGTAGATTCTCCTTATACTACCCTTTAACTATACCAGCCTTCCCCAATCTAGCACCCTCCAAATATTTTGAACTATAAATCCTAAGATTTCTGACCATTGGGCATGCTGACTCAGGCTGATTAGAATTGAAGTCTGCAGCAGCTGGAGAGTACCAGGCTGGGAAAGGCTGAAGTACAAGGAAATACATGAACCAGTTTACAAAATTAAGAAATAGTATTTATCAACTTTATCATTAGCCATGTAGATATGGCTTTGCTACCCCAATATGTACTTGCACATTTTTTCCACTAGTAATTTATTCTACATACAAGACTATAAGATAAAACACTTTATTAAAATCTAACTCATTCTAATGTCCTTGGGCAAGACAAACTGTAACAGAGGTAATATTTTTGACTTATTTTAACACTGTTTTCTTATCAGCAGTAATTCTACAGTTATCAGTAATTCTGATAACTTGTTCCACTGAAAAAACATTTACAGCATTAACACCTAGCCCAAGAATATTTAAGCTTTGAGCCCAATCTCTTTGGCCCTGTTTTCAGTGGCAATGATAAACACAGAGCAGTATTTTCCCAGTAAGGTTGTTCAATGTTCAACTTGTCCTACTTGTTCAATATCTTTTCCAATATAAACTGATGTCCTGAATCAGAAGACATATAAAATATATTCTGTTGAAGCAGCTGTACACTACGTCCTGCCCCAAAGCAAAATGTAACACCACTCCATTGATTTAAGAGAAATCTTCCAAATGCCATCCTTATGCTCAGGTATGCTGCAGGACTGGGGCATAAAACTTAACACAGATGAATGAACATGTGGGCAAGGGAATCTCTTATGCTTTTGTTCTGCTGTGCTATCACACTGAGATGCACCTTGTCCTTTGAAGCAGCATCTGTGCCGCTGGCAGCGAAAAGTACATATATGCCACAGAAGCACTATGCGAAGAACTTATTGAGAGCAACAAGGGACATGGGACAGTCCTGAAACCCTAAGTGTCATGGGAACATGCCCAGGAACCTTCTGCTAGCAAAAACTGTGACCACGCAAGGCTGTAGCAAGGCAACAGCACTGGGCATAGGAATCTGAGTTAGCCATTCCATACCTGCCTCACACTGCACTACAAACAATGACTTGTGCCACAGAAGTCACAGTCAGGAACCAGCCAGTCTGTTATTTTGAATAGGATGTTTCAATAATTCTTAGGGTAAACAAAGTTACATCATCAAGGAAACAGGTCCTATGTAGTCACCTCTTATATGCACAGTCATGCCTATTAAAGTTACACTTTTTCACATCACTCAAATGCTTATATACAACAAGAATATAATTCATGCTTTAATATTACTTAAGCTGCGCACAATAACTTTACATGATGTTTGCAACTCATACCATCTGAAAGTGACTTTTAAGATTAGCACACAACTTGGATGTTTATTCTAATCTTAAAATTAAGAGCAAGGAAATTCTGGCATGGTATGATAATTTCAAATATGTTCTAGTGTCAAAGAAAAAAGTAAAGGTTATATGTCAACTTCAATCAACTTCAATCTTTACCCACAGGAAGCAGAAGTAATATTTTGTACATTTAAACCATGATGTGCAAGAGATGCCCCAGCAATAAAAGTCTATCTACAGCTATCATAGTGGATCCTGAGCAAAAACAACTTTAAAAAAATTGTTTCTCACAGAGAAACAATGTTAAATCAAAACCAAATAGTAATGTTTTAGTCAAAGTGCACAACCCTATACATCTTTACTTGGAAGTAACTCACAGTATTCAAAGGGGTTTCAACCCTAGAAAGTATGCTTAGGATCACAACCCAACTGACAATACTGCTTTGTCATTTCCTATACATGCCAAAGTTAAACATCAGGCACCAGGCATCAATTCTCAAATGTTAGATACTTGAGAGAAAATATGCTGTGGGTTCTGCATTCACTGAGATGTGTTAAAGATAACATTTTTAATAATTCTTTTCACATCCAACATGCCTTGATGCACTGCTTTACTGCTGAGATACCGTTACAGAGATTGTGCTTTCCTGCATATATTTGCACAGCAAATAAAAGAGAACTCACATGTTTCTAGAGCTGAAGTAGGGAAGCAGTGGCCTTCTAGATATTACTAAGCGACCACTTTAATCAGTCCCAGACAGGATAGTCAATGAGCAGGGGCAGAAGTTGTAGATATGTGAAAATAAAAGCCAAGAAATATTTACATTTCTTGCTACTGGAACCTTCATGTTTCTCTATCTTCTACGTTTCCCCTTCCCTATGGTGCTCAAAACATTTTGATTTCGAAAGTGCAGGGCATGTTTGCAGGGAAACCAGAGGACATGTGAGGGTGTCCTATAGCTCTGTCTTCATATCCAGGTACCTTAGCTTAGGTAAGAAAACTGGCCTTAGAATATCTTAATTATCCCCCTGCATAGAACTTGCACAACTGAATTTAGGCAGCAAAAACCTGCTTTACTGCCACAAACAAGATTAGCACTGTCATCATCAGTGCTCTTGAACTATTATAAAAACAGTTCCTAAAAGCATCAGAAAAATCCTGCTCTGGGATACCAGTTACAGCTGTACAGATCTTCTCTCAACTTCAAGCAAGGACTTGCCACAGATCCTTCACAGGAGCATACAGAGAGCAGGATGTTTGTAAGCTCTTCACTAATTTCTTCTTTTACAGAACCACCTCAATGAGACCTCCAACATGCATGCTGCACAGTGAGGCTGATGTATTCCAAGCCCAGCTCCCAGCACACACTGCTCTCCGGAGACATAATCTCCACAAAATTAGTATGGGTGGGGAGCAAAACCGCCAACCAAGAATGCTCAAGCCCCATTACAATCAGTGCCACCTGCTTCTTCCAGCCATTACAAGTCAGGCTACAAGATAATCCCTACACCATGCCAGACTCCTCTTTTCCTCAAAAACGTTTCGCTCACTTCCTCCTCCATAAGCAAAACAGCGTTCGTTTCCCCACACAAACCACTGAGCAGAAGATTTATGCCAGTAGCTTTCGAGCCGGAGTGTTTGGGGGAGGGGGGTTGGTAGGCCTGTAAGCCCCTCCGGGCAGAGAACTAAAAAAAAGTACACTGAAAGGTTATTGAAATGAGGAGACAGTAACATTAATATATGGATCTCTCTCTCTTTCAAAGGAACTCAGGAGGCCCAACACGGGGCTTTTCGTGCTCCCATTTTTTAAAACCTCACAGGAACCCGAAAAAGCTAGCCAATGACTTTCGCCGCAGAGAAATGATGTGAAACCAGGTCTCGCCGGTCCCAGGGCAAAATGATCTTCTCCCGCACCTTGCCTCCGGGATGTCCCTCACGTTCTCCTGGCTAGCCCGCCCCACCAACCAACCAACCAACCAACCACACACACCCTCACCCGGCCCCTCTCACGGCGCATCTCCAGGCCTGCGGACTGAGAAGCAAGCTCCACGACGCTCAAGGCGCATCTAGGGAAGCGGCACCCTCGGTCCACCTCGCACCGCTTCAACACGAGTTCTTCGCCTCAAGGCGCCCGGCCTGACAGTCCGCCCGCTCAGCCGGCAGCAGCGCCGCCGCGCCGCCGCAGCCATGCCCGGGCGCCCCCGGGCACCTCAAAACAAAACACGCACGCCCTTTAACGTCACCGCCCCGCACCCGTCAAAGCCGCTTCTCCAGAGGCGAGCCCAGCCTCCCGACTCCCCAGAAGCGCCTGCACCCGCACGCGTACCTCCTTCCAGGCCCCGCTCGGGATCCTCCGCCGCTGCACCGCGCCGTCTTTTTTGGCTTTCCTTTCTTGCTCACCTTCCCTCCACCCTCCCTCCAGATCGCCACAGCCGCCACCGGAAACACGCCAACCTCAACCCGGATGGCTGAATCCGCCCGCAAGCGGAGGATGAGAGACCTCTAGGCCGCTCTAGCCACATGGACAATTGCGGGACTCTGTGATTCGGCCCTCTTCGCCGCTGTTGGACAGACGGACATGGAGATGCAAAGGCAGGAGAGTCCACGGAGAGGAGCGGGCGTGGCTCCGCTTGGTGGGTGTGTCGGTAGCGGGGCGGAGCCTCTTTGTAGACCGATAGTGGCCCGCGTGCCTCATTATGATTCCTGCTGTTCACTTTGGTTTGGTTAGTACCTTTGTATGTTTCTTAGGCTACCCTGAAGCTACTCACCTTAGCTGGAAGGATAAAGCGAGGAGGAGGAGGAGGATGCCCGTGTCCAGCTGCCCTGGATTTCGTGCAAGATGGAAAAAAGCGAAATATAAATACAATAATAATTAAAGTCTCCTTGAACTCAGTGAGACTTGCCTCTTAGTTAAATGGCTTCAGGAAGGTACTGTGAGTTGTCCCTTGGCTTTGAATTGTCTTCTATTTTCTCTCTCAGAAAACCTGATAAAGGAGCTGTTAAATAGGTAAAGTTCAGGTTATGCTTTTTCCCACAGGAAACAGGCCTGAAAACAACAGGTTAAAGAACATAAGAACCTCCTATTTAGTTATTCATTTATTTAAGGTTTTTGTATACTGTCCAACTACTACTGCCTGTTATGCAGAACCACTTCCTATTTCCAACTGTGTCTGACTGTACTACTGTGCGTTCTCCTTTGCCAACAGTTGTGCATAAAGGTAGGCGTAAAGGTTAAAGGTTTCCCCTTGACATTAAGTCCAGTCATGCCTGACTCTAGGGGGCAGTGCTCATCTCCATTTCCTAGCAGAGGGAGCCAGCATTTGTCTGCAGACAGTCTCTGTGGTCATGTGGCCGGCATGACTAGACACCAAAGTGCATGGAACGCTGTTACCTGCCCAACGAAGTGGTACCTTTTTATCTCCTTGCATTTGTATGCTTTTGAACTGCAAGGTTGGCAGGAGCTGGGACGGAGCAACGGGAACTCATCCCATTGTGCAGATTCGAACCGGCGGCCTTTCAATCTACCAGCCCAGCAGCACAGCGGTTTAAACCACTGCGCCACCTGCAGTCCCTCTAAAGGTAGGCATACACGAATGCAAAAATACATATGTCACATACATAATGCACAAAACTGAAGCCTATGCTTGGCCCCACAAGAGCAGCCTTTAAAGCCTGAATATTAACAACACTCCTTGTTCCAGAGAAGAAACTCTTTTTCCAGTTTTTCTATATAACCTCTGTTGCATATTTAAACATTTTTAAATAACTTTCCCCAATCCTTAGCTCCTATAGGGAAAACCTCTATAGAACGTTCTTGTATATCAAGTAGCTAGCTACCTGATATTGTCATGCCCTTATTCTAAATATCCTTGTACCGCACAGCTTACAAACATACCAAATTTCTTAAATGTTGCAAGTACTGGTGCTCCTCTTGTGCCTTGTGCTGACGAAACAACCACTGGGTCCCAAGTCTTGGAGAGCTGGTACTTAATGCAAACAATGGGAAGGACTGACTCCGCAGTGGGAAATGCCCTGAAAATTATACTTCAATACTATGCTGACTACCAGTTTTGGAGAGCCTGTGGACAAGACACCCTCAGTACCTCCCCTCCCTCAGTAAGTCTACCTTCTCAATGCATTTGTCACCAGCTGTTACTACCTCTCATTCTCTTTCTCATCATTGCTATTACTTGTTTGATGTGTGGAAGGCTAGGAGCAAGTAGAGAGCAGCAGCTACTGCTTTTCCTCACCACCACCATATTCAGGGCTAGAGTAGGAGGCAGGTGAACAAGCAGGCTGCAGCCATGAAGAGGAAGAACAGGTCTTGCCAGTGGACCTCTGCTGGGCACATGCTGCCTACCCTTGAAACCAGCCCTGCCACTGCACAGCCTGCCTTTTCTCTCAAATTTAGCTAGAGCCTTGTGCCATATTTTATGTATGATGATTACTCCAAGCCTGCTCGTAAAGAATCTTATATGAGGGTAATTCAAGTCTGGAATGTGTAACTTAAATCACCTGGTGGCCCTCAACTCTCTCACACTGGTGACTCCTGCGTCTGGGCCAAGGGCACTGCACTCTGAGGCAGTTTGTTGGACAAGGGGGCTACTGGCTGCTGTGGTGTCATTTCTGCAGGTGACGAGGAGGTTGCATTGCAGCTATCAGCCCAGTAGCACTCAGGTAACACTGGAGGTCAGGAGGGCTCTGTCTGACCCTGTAAAGTTGTTGGCTTGCTTCTGCCTCTCCGGTTTCACTTGTTCTTTAAATTCTAGGTTGTGACTGACCCCAAACTAAGCACTGTGGCAGTGGCACTAAATATAACTGAGTTAACACTTTTTCCCCATTTGGCACTAGTTTTCTCTTGTTTCCTATGCATGTGCCCTTCCTGATCTGCCTCAAACAAATTATTGTAAGTCCCTCAGGGTAGATATGTAGCCACCAGCTCTCTTTGAAGCAGTATGCATATGAAAGGTTCCATTTAAATAAATGATTTTGGGTGCAATCCTGTACATGTTTACACAGGAAAACGGCTTACAGCTCTCAGCCATGCCACACGCTCTGTGGTTGGGGCATATGGGGAGTTGTAGGGCTTCTTTGCATCTAAAAATGTACTGATTACCACTTTAACAAAAGATTGCACCCACAGTAATTGTATTACTGGTATGCCAAAGCATAAACTATATCTGGTTTATGAGATCTTTTATATCGGTTTATTTCAGTAAAATATAGTTCCAGTCAGAACTTTGAACCTGACCAATGTTACAAATGAAATGCTTCAGAGTCATGAAGGGTACAATCCTATACATGTTGAAAAAGAAAACAGGCTACAATTCTCAGCATGCCCCAGCATGCCATGTATGCCTTTTTTTCTGTCTAAACATGCATAGGATTCAGCAAGTTGATTAAAAAGGGTCAGTTTCTATAACAATTATCTCCCTGTAAACACACAAATATCTCCTATATTTTGAAATAGTTTAATGTTTTAGAAACCTTATAAGTGTATGCATGTCATGGTCTGATACCTTTATTAGTAGCCACAATTTAAAGAAAGAATTTAAGGAAATATATTGGAATGCGCCCACTAGTACAAGTACACTAGCAAATTCTGTCAAGAGTGTAGGCCAGGGGTCCTCAACCTTTTTAAACAGGGGGCCAGTTGACAGGTGCCAGCGGTAGGTGCAGGCTGCCAAGGTGGTGCTGGCGGGGGGTGGGGGGGAGCATGGGCCAGGGTGGGAGTGGGGTGCACATGAGGGGAGGCGGGGGCGAGGCGCCGGCTTGCTTGTGAGGAGATCGTTTTCTCTAAGCGAGTCCAAAATGACCTCCTTGGGAGTCAGCCACGCACCTGGCGAGCGCAAAACCTGTGGGGTGGGCTGGTTAAATGGGCATGGCGGGCCGGATTTGGCCCACGGGCCTTAGTTTGAGGACCCATGGTGTAGGCAGTGTGCTGGGAAAGAGAACTACCTTGTGGCCATGACTCTACTGGTAGTTCTATATAGGAAGGGCTTTTGTGGAGGAAATAGTGTGGAACCTGCATATAAATCATCATATATGATGATTACACACATGTCCATAGCCCTGCATACTTAAAGCATTATGTGTGTGTTAATAGTGAGAAAGAATGGTACTGTTGCCCAAAAGGAAGCCCTTGCCATAGAAGAAACATGTCACATTGTGGAGCTCTCAAACTCACAGTAATTTTTGTAACTTAGAAGTATAATTGCAAGGATTGTGCCATAGCACATGTTGTGAGGACGGCACACAACTGTACATCTCTTACCATACCGAACATGTGCAGATGCATAGTATTTGTAAGAAATGTGGAAACCATGACTGTGAATATGAGAAAATCAGTATGACATAGAGGGATTAGGACTCTGATGATTCGAAACCTATGAAACGCATTGTGTGATTTTGGGTCAGTCACTGACTCTCAGCCTAACCTACCTCACAGGGTGGTTGTGAGGATAAAATGGAGACAGGGAGAAAGATTATGTAATAAACCTTATGTTCTTTGTAGGAAAAATGGTGTGATAGAAATACAATAGGAAAGACAGGCAAATGTAAATCAAAATAAAACATCTGGAAGATTGTGTACCTCACAGGAGATATTGATTTAGAAACATTTTTTGTAAGAGCCATGTGGCACGTAACACATTTATTCTGGCATGAGCTTTCACAGACACTGTCAACTTCATCTGATGCATCTTGCCTCTTCTATACTAAAGTGTTTAATGCAAGGAAGACCATGAAGTGCATGTTTGAAATCTGTGATAATCTGTAAACCAGAATGTTTCCCCTGACAGGAGACAAAGAAGATGTGCAGTAAAGCAGTCAATTCACCACTGGCTGAATTGCCACGGATACCGAATTTATCCACATTTCATCATATTGGGAATGCTGTATGATTCAAGTGTAATCTCAGTTATGTAAAAACAACTACAGTGGGAAACACATAATTTCAGTCATGCAGGTTAATAACCAGGGAAAAGGTATATTAAATATATTAGTTTATTTGACTAATGATTGAAATAAATCAATATTTACATAGAGTGACGATATTACCTAAGTATCCTTTCATGATTGTTATAAAGGTTTATTGGATATAATTAATTCATGGTGCAGTTAACAAACTTGAAAATCTAAGCAGTTGGAACCTCATGCGCAACATAACTGCACATTCTTCTCCAGAGCAGAGAGCATCCCCTACCCTTTGCTTGCATATTTAACATGCATCAGTTGGTGATACTGTCACTTTAATACTCTGACTGCTTGCAATTGGCTGAAAGATTGGAACATTCCTTCATGTCGAAGGACGGCCTTGTGCCACGATTGGCTGCTCTGGGCGCTGCAGGATACTTCCTGGAATGTCTGCAGCCCAACGTTCTTCCAGGTCGGGCTCACTGGAAAAGTGGTGGGGGACTCTCCTTTATTCAAAATGTAATTAATAGCCTTCTGATTGATGGTAAGGAGAATGTGGGATTTCACCAACCGCATTGGTACTTCGGATATCATTAAAAGATGCATGCATGTTGTGGGGTTGGTAGAATCCATGTTCCATAGGAACAAACTGCATACCAGCACATTTACCAAGTTGTTGGATTGTAGTTTTTGAAGCATTCTTTGCTCTAGTCTAATATTCTTCACGGTGCAGGAAGCTGACTACAGAATAAGCAAATCAGCCTCTTCTTCACACAGAAGGGAACCTTACAGCAAAAAGAAATCACCAGAAGATGCATTTTGCTTGTATTGATCAGAAGGGTGGTTGGATTGGCTAAAAACAAGGAAAGGTATCTTTTTCTTGCAGTGATGTGTGAACTGTAATCTAAGCAAGGATATTATGGCTGTTCCCTTGAAACCAGTTTTCTACACGTGCTAAAGGAGGATTTTGTGTACAGTGCTCAAAACAGGTAATAATTGTCAGTGCCAAATCTCATAATACTGGACTAACAGCTTTTACAAAATACCAGGTTAGATTTATAATTTGTGTTGAAATAAAAGAATTTATATCCATAGTAATTAAAAGTGACAGCAGTAGTGTTTTAAGAGTGGCTGGAATTTGGGTATGAGCATGGAATGACCTGTTTTACCATCCTTCTAGGCTCTTGGTTAGAATGAGTAAATGGAAAGTAAAGTAAACATTGAACTTTTTTCTGCTTTTTCTGTGAGTGACATGTTTCTAATTATATTAGCAATTTAAATGTGAAAGCAGAGAATGATCTTGTGTATGTATTTTAAGTTTTAATCAGTAGGGGAGTTTCTAGAATGTCAGGAGGTGTAAATCTTGTGGCATCAGGATGGGTTCCTTTTTTGGACATAAAATAAAATAAACTATCCCCAGAAAGAGAAAAATGGTTAACAATTTACATCGGTGCTCTAGCATTAACTTATTTAAAAATCCAAATAGTATGAGGAGAAACCCCAAAATCTGATGCTGGAAGTAAGCAAAATTGTGTACCATGTGGATAAATTGACAGTTGCTTTCAAACTGAGATTACAGAGCAATGGTTCAAAATGTTAGACTTTTAAATTATAGAGATTTCTAAAGGCTTCAGATAGTTGCAGGAACATCCAAAATGGCCAGAACAAGTGGTACATGTGATGATGTCCTTTATTAGGCCACTTTGGTGGCCTTTCCAGAAAGACTGCAAAAACAAATTCCATGCAGTGCTGGTTCCACATGGGGCCATAATGTTTATAAGCTGTGCACCTTGTGTCTCACTCCAATTGCATAGACAGTGTCTACACCATGAGCTGCCATGAATCTGTGCCTTGCTTGGTCCACACAAGAAGCCGCTTGTAAAAGCCATGTTCCACTACAACAACATGGAAATGTGTTTCTTCTATTATGTGATGTGTGTGTGCGTGAATGTATGTGTCAGAGAGGGAGAGTTGCGGGGGGGGGGGGTTGGTTTAATTCACAGCTCTTGGGTGAACCTTTTATAGCATAGCTGTAGAAGTTTGTGGTGTGCCTGGACTGGAAAGACAGTGGGCCTGGCTATGGTATAGAGCTAGATTTATACTCCAGCCTGCCTCCCCAGTAATGGGTTGCTGCCTGCTCCCCAGCCCAGAAGAGTAGAGACAAATCACATCAAAGCACCACAGGAAGACTGCAGGTGTACTTGAAGCACATATTATTCTGGTACTATCTTCTACTTTTTCAACATAGGTTAGACATCTCTGTTTTAGATAAAAGATAGTCCCTATTCTAAAGGGTGGCCTTTATGATCTGTTGTTTCTCCTCACTTTGGATGGGTATTTTCACAAGGGAGACTCTAGTTAAACATGCATTCATTTTCTATATCATCAGCCTTTCAAACCGACATATACCAGATTAAAACTAAAACAAAAAGCATTCTTAGCATCACTTCTGAAAGTGCCCTATAAATCTGTAGCAGCTTTTGATGTGCAGAAGGTTTTCCTCTATCAGAATGGCCAAAGTGTAACAATGATAGATAGGCAACGTAATACAAGACAACTTGCAAGTGATAGATTTTGGATATTTGGATAGGTCTGGAAACCAAATATGCTGGTAGTGGAATGGGGAGAATAATCTACATAACAGAACCTTCTATATTTGGTGATGTTGAAGCATTCCCTTTATGTCCTTGGTAGAGAAGGACACAGAATAAAGGAAAAGTAACAATGACTTACCAAGGTTAAAATACAAGATTTTATTATTTATTGCAATCAGAACTTACGATGTTTGTTTATTGTGTCTACTAGTTGTTGAGGTTTAAAAAATTATTATTATTTGCTCAGATATTGGAAATAGAAAGCCATTCAACATGACAACAGAAACTCTGGTGAAGGATATTAAACCAGGCTTGAAAAACCTGAATCTTATATTCATTGTATTGGAAACGGGTGAGTGCTGTATGGAATCGAAGAAGATGATTAGCTGGTTTTTGAAACCCGATGCTATGTAGCTGGGATACCAGTCTGCTTACAAAACCCTATTCATGGGCATAAGGAAGACAATACTGCATTGTCTTCCTTTATTAAAAATGGGTTGCATGTAGATTTTAATTTTTTCAATTTACAGTTTACAGTGCAATCTTAAATGTAAATGCCACCTAACTCAGTGGGGCTTATTCTCATGTAAATAGTTGTAAAAGTAAGAATGATATGTTGCATTATATTTGTGCGTAACATTTTGTGAAATGGTGATGCAGACTCGCCTTCTGTCAGGCTGGGTCCAGCCTACTGGAGAATCCAATTTTTTTATTCCTAAATAATTATATGTACAATATTATGTGCATTCAGAAAAGTGTCGCACTATTATGCATATTGTGATGTCAAGTTAGCACTGATGCACCCCATTGCTTGTCAAAGTAATCCCACTTAATGCATTAATGCTTAATTACACTTTATTACTTGCATATCAGTGGTACTATTGCATTCCGTTCTTGCTATGCCGTGCCTTGCGAAGGTACACTCTGTTCTTCCTTTTTCACTGTGTTTCTTTTTTTAACTGCTGGAAATAAAAAGCAGCAGATGTCGATGGCTGCATGGGATGAGTCGGGATAGAGCTGTATTTGCTTTAGATCTATCCTTCTGACATGAAGCTTGAAACATCCTCTGAGTCACTTTAAATAATGGCAGCTCTTCTACCACCAGGTCGGGTGACCAAGACAAAAGATGGTCATGAGGTGAGGACATGCAAAGTAGCTGACAAAACCGGCAGCATAAACATCTCGGTGTGGGATGATGTTGGGAACCTAATCCAACCAGGAGATATCATTCGACTCACCAAAGGGTATGGATTGTCCTGCTGACAGGAGTGGAATTGAAGATGATGGGGAAAATGAATGCTACGTCTGGAGCTATGGCAAAGGGGCCATTTGGAGGGAGGATGAGTACGGTTGAGCTCACCCCCAGGACACTTCAAGTGTTTCCTGGATTACTTAATACAGATGTGTTACTTTTTAATGCACTTCAGCACACTTAACCCTGTTAGGGAGGTTTAAAGGCTGTGATCCTCTGAACAATAATTTGAGGACAAGTCCCATTCTAGGCAGCAGACCTGCATAGGATTGGGCTGAAAGAATGCATTTCTTTTTGGTGATTACCTACCATAGATTCACAGTGTTCTGTGTGAAATGTTGGAGGAGTGTTTGTAGGGCAATGCAGATAGAAAGGAAGCTCTCATTATGACTGCACAGAGAAATGAGAATGGATTTTCTTTAAAGGTTGTTCTCTCCTTCTGCAAATGCACCAGATGCATTTAGATTTGTTTTCCTCTGGGCTTGGGCAGAAATAATGCATCCTACTTAGCCCTTTAGGGATGCAGAATGGGGTACAGGTTTGTACACCTCTAACTCTTCAGCTCCCCTTCTTGAGTACAAATACCCCCCCCCCCCAGCATCTTACATGTGGCTAAGAGTTACAGCAGCATTCTTAAACCACGGTTAATGCAAATTGTGCTCACTTCTGGTCAGCACTTGAACTCTTACCTGAGAGCTCAATGGGAGATGGCTCATGAAAGTGAGCAGATGATCAAGCAGCCTGTTCGGAACCCCTTAATTATAATTAAAAGAACAGGGTGGAGATATCTGTAGCAGGCCTTTTGTTTTGTGAAGAATCTGCTTCCTCTCCAGCATTTCATTCAGTGTAGCTATCTGCAGTGTGTGCGTATGCACACTCTTGCCTGCAATAGAGAAAAAAGTTCCACCTCCCACATGCTCACACATTGCAAAACGCAAGCATTTTGCTACACAGGGATTGATCATCATCTAGCACAACATAATGTACAAAGCTACCCTTTATTTCGACTGATAGATGCATTCTTGCTCCCTCTGTTGGCACATTCATGGGGAGGGTTTTGAAAGTCTGTGTGTGGGAGGCAACATTTATTTATTTGCAAACCTTTCTAGTATGCTCTCTTTGTTTTTGGCTTACAACTGCAAGACTCTAGCAAACAGTAACATAAAATTAAGGGCCATTGTTGGCTTTAGAGCATTTTGTTCTCCTCTGAAAAGCAGAAACAAGAACAAAGAACAGCAGAGGACTGTGGCCTTTGTGCCTGGCTCATAGGCTTACTGGAAGTATCTGTTTGGCCACAGCTGGGGACAACCTTAGGCTGGAAGGATCCATGACAGCAGGCTTTTCCATTCTTTTCAGTGCTGCCCTTGGAATGCTCCAAGGCCAAGGGCACATCTGCCCAGCAGATTTCATGCTAGACAGAAAAAGCACATAAAAGAAGGAGCTTCTGTCTTTCAGTAGGGAAATCGAGTTATGCAATAGCACTCCTGAGTGCTACTAATGTGCAGTATTCTATTTGTGCGCATGTGCGTACACACACATGTACACATCTAGAAACAGCTGCGATGGGTCGGATGCGACTTTGCAACTAGCATAGCATAAGGATATACATATCATTTGTTGTATTTTATCTTGACTTTCTTTCAGGGAGCTCAGTTTTATTTCAGGTAAACTAGGCTGAAAGGGATACTAATCCAAAGCCACCCAGAGAACAGCATAGCGAAAAGGAGATATGCATACCTGTCTCAATAAGCTTAGGCAGATCCTCTGGGCCTCATCCAGGGATGCGTGAGTGAACTTCTGCTGGTGCAATGGAAGTTTCCTTCCTGTCCTTCTCCTTGCAGCCTCCACACATCCCCAAAATCTGCTTCAGAGGGTTCCCCCACCTTCTGGAACATGCGTGGGGTGTACATGCATCAGGCACTGTAGAGGGGGAATTTGATTTGTCAGTGACGTCCATTCCCCTGATGAAAGGACATATTCAGATGGACAACATACTAGAGTCACTGTGGGTTATTTACTCCTGATGAGCTGCAGCGTATGCTGCGTGCCATTTTGAATCTTTATCACCCAGTCAAGGTGATCAGCAGATTGTCATCAGGAACATGGCCACTGTGGGTTATCAAGGCTTCAGCAATCCTCATGTAACCATGACAAAATTGAGCTACCTACCACCTTCTGTATACAGATATTGAAATTATTGTCTCCTTTCTTGTCTGGACATCTGCAAATACAAGCATGTCCCCTGCAATCGCATTTTGGGTAACCCTGATGACATCTGAAAACAGATCTTCAGGACCCCTTTCAAAGCTTCTGCGCAGCTGTATCTCTAAGAGACTTTTGCATGCTATTTGGTGACATGTCACCCTTAGGTATCTGTTTTGGGAATATTACTCCCAAGTAAGTATATACAAAATTGCAGCCTAAGTGGTTTTAGGTTCTACAGGACCTTAAAACACACTACTTGCTCCAGTAGTGCAGCAAAACACCAATTCTTAGCTAGACTTGTACTGGAGCTCAGTTGGAGACAGGTGGACTAATACACATAGTACAGGTAGGTAATAGTCTTAGGTGCCATGCTTTAAGACATCTCCCAAAACAGTTATTTGCCTTGTAAGAGGGAGTTTGGGCTGCTTTTAACTGTGGATTTCTCTCTCTCAGGTATGCATCTGTTTTCAAAGGCTGCCTGACCCTATATACAGGACGTGGAGGAGACCTGCAGAAAGTTGGCGAGTAAGACTTGCCACTTAATCCAGTGTTGCTTTCTGTAATTGGGAATTGGCTGGGTGGTATTTCTACTTGGGGCTGGGGTCTTCTGTCTCCTCCCCACCATCTTCAACAGAAACCTAACTGGATGAGCTTCCATGACTATTGTTACCCATTTTTGTAACCACTTTTGCCTCTTTAGCCATATGGAAATTAACTGCAGATCACTTAAATTTCATAGTAGGCTGGGAAATTTGTCAAGTTTTGGTTCTGACTTATTGACTATGCATTTCCCTTCCCCAAAATTATGCAAGTCTACACTTCAAAGAGTACTGTCTACATTTGGGCTTGCTATGCCTAATGTGACTGAGCCTTAAAAAAAAAAAAACCCTACTTTTTTATGGCTGCTTTTACTGTTTGCTGTTTAGCATGTGAACACTGTCCCTAACTGCCCATGGTAGTGTCTCAGCTCTCCTTGAACAGTAGCCAGTCTATCAGCCTAACTGAATGAATGGTTTCCAGATCATCATAAGAAGTTCAGGTATGTTTTCCTCCATTTTCCTCCTAATTAGGAGGGGATGGAAAGGATAACCTTGGCTGCTTACCCTCAAGGTAGAATGCTGATGATGAGGGAGTTGGGTCAGTTAAGGTGGAAACTTGAGGGAGAAGGTTAGAAATTGGTAAATGTTTCTTTTCAGGAGCTATAGAGATTATTCCCCCCCGCCCTCCATGAATAGAGGAGTTATTCCTAGTGCTGTTGTTATACTGGGCTCTTCTAAAATAAAATCTGTTTCTGTATTTGAGACAAGTACAGGAGTATGAGAGCCAGTGGCAGAGTGGTGAGAGTGTTGGACTGGGACTCTGGAGATCTGGGTTCTGGGCCCTACTTGGCCATGAAGCTCATAGGGCGATCTTAGGCTCACCCTCAGACTCTCAGCTTAACCTACCATATTCCCATATGTTGCTATAAGGATAAAATGGAGAGAAGAACCTTGAAAATTCCCTTGGGTTCCTTGGAAGAGCAAGAAAAGTCAGGTATAAAGGCAATAACAACCACATATTTTGGACAGAACCACATTGGCAGGATTTGATCACAGAACCCAGAAAATACCAAACTTTATACTTCCTCCTTTCCCTATCCATTTTCCGCTTTGTGACATGTCTTTTTCTCTATGCCCTCAGGCTTACAATCTATCTTTGTTTTTTGCCTTGCTTTTTACTTGATCTGTGAGTTGTTCAGGGAGACTTTTCAGCTGAAGGGTGGAACTAAAATGCTTTAAAACAGTATCAGTGCTGCATAGGTTGTTGGAGAAGGTGGAAATTGATTCGTGGAACAAGATCATTTTTCGTGCGTTTTTATCTGTAATATTTCCTGGCCCAGGTTTTGCATGGTTTATTCAGAAGTGCCAAATTTCAGTGAGCCAAATCCAGAGTATGTTGCCCAGCAGTCACAAAACAAAAATGTGAGTATGTGGATTGCCTGGACTGATGTTGTGGAATGAAATAAATTTTCAAGTGGGGATTTGCTAGCCCTGGGGCAGGTTCCTAAACTCATCCTGATGGGTCTCTGTGCCTTCTTTGACCATAATAAAATGTATCATCCCCAAAATGCTGTTTTTTCTTCTGTGCCCTTATAGTAGAATTGCTTAAATACTTTTTGAATTCTGTTCCTGTTCCCATTGCTCTCTCCCCTGTAAATTCCTGTGTTTATTTTAACCTTTGTAATAGATTAGCATTCTATTTCCCTGCCCTGAGAAAATGAAAATTTAAATGGAGGTTTAGAATTATACAGCTGATCCTTTAGGGAACCAGGCACTTAAAGTTGCCAGCTCCAAATCCTGAGAAGGTTCTTGTACCCTTTAAGAGTAGCACTGAAGGAAGTAATTTTACCCAAGGGGGTAAAGCTGGTTCTGCTGAGCTTTCCCTTCTTAGGTAACCTTTAAAGGGACAAAGGTCTTCCTGGGGTGCCTGACTGGATCTAACTGAAGTGTGTCTTTTGAGGGTGGCTGGAAAAGGGAGCAATGTATGTAGAACTGAATGTATTTAACTCTCCAGGACACTTCAAATAACATTTTCAAGAATTCCCTTGCCATGTAACAATTACATTGGGAATCTTTATAGTCCAGATGCCTTATTTTCAGTTCTTTTTTTTTTCCTTTCGTCGTCTTCTTCCCCAGTCTCCACTACTACATAAGTTATCCTAACTTAATTGGTTTGCATCATGGTCTTGTGAGACATTTGTTGCTCTCTGACCAAATGGCTGATGTATCTATAGAACCATTGCATAGTCAGAAAATGTGAGCAGTTCTTGGTTTTCTTCATTTCTTTCAGAATGATAATGCAGCTCCCACGGCCTCCCAGACTATGCCTGGACCCTCTACATCATCAGCAGGTACGCAGCTGGTGTGAATTTGCACATTCCTAAGACTACTGAGCCAAAGTTCTTTCCTAAGTTGAGTGCCAAACATCATCCATAGTCAGATAATTTGCTCAGCTGCAGGAAGGTTTTGACTGCAACATCCAACCTATTAGAACCCATAGTCTCCAAGGAGGTAGAACTGGACATCATGATTAAAAGTATTTTTGCATTCCCTGTGCCTGAGAGATAATAGTTAATAATCACAGCAGGCAGGAAAGGGAATGTAACCCTTTCTTCTCCTGTGGCAGCCTCGAGGAAGTTGGCAGTTACTTTGGAGGAGTGGACGGGAATCCTGCCTTGGTGCCCAGGATCATCCTACAGACCAATTTTAAATGGGATTTAGTGTGTCTAACTTGGCATAGGATCAGGTTGTTTAGAATCTTGGCATGTCCAGCTTTTGACCTTCTGGTGTGGTAGCCCTGCTTTTTTAAAATAAGGTTCTGTCCCTATGATTGTAAAGATAAGCTTGCTCTTCTGGCAACATTTTTTCATCTATTCCAGTCAAGGTCAAACTTTCAACATGCTAACTCTAACTTATATGGTCCTATTATATTATTATTATTATTATTATTATTATTATTATTATTATTATTATTACATCACATTTATAACCTGCTTTTTTTCTTTTTGCAAGGGACCCAAGGTAGATTACAATACACCCCTAGTGTGGATTAATATTGGAAACAAACAAGCAGAAGATAGGATATGTAGTTCTTTCTAAGTATACCATTAACTCACTCAGTCAATTTTGGACTTACGTTAGACTAAAAAGCTTTTGACCAGGTTATTTGAAGGATAATTTGCTCCCCTTTGTACAGCCCAGGTTGTTCCCTGATGCTTACCAAATCTAATCTCCTCCTTCTAACACCACCATCTATCCCACATAATGGTTGAGTAAACACAACACAACCTGTACTCAAGGTTGTTCTATTGTATGAACCCTCCTGCATTAACAAACCATGGTTTATTAACCACAAACATCCCAATGTTCCCAATCCAACAGCAAAGTGTTACATTTATTGTAACAATCCTATAGCTTTTTAAAACAGCATATATCAGCCGAAATATTCTGACCATATCTTTTATTCCAGTCTTCCACAAAACAATTCCTTTTCTCCAAAAATATGTTTTCCTTTCTTGGAGGCTGCAATCCCATTCACATTCTCATGAGAATAAATTCTACTGAACTCAGTACAGTAAGTTCCACTGAGTAGACATAATATTTTATTGATAGTTTGGCAGCACATTTTGCTGGTAACGTTTGAACAATCTACGCTTGATGCATCCAGCATTTGATTAAAAATACCACATTTTCCAACTGTAAGCTATTTCAGTTCTTGCAGTTACAGGCTTAGAATTGGCATCTTCCATATTGATTTGGGTATTAAATATTTCCCCGCAAGATTGCTAGTGTATTGAATGGCTTCATCTTCATAGTTTCAGTAAGACTTTTCCTTCCTTCCTTTCAGCCACCGACAACCAGAATGGCAATGGGTTGATCACTTCTGGCTCTGGCAGCTCCACGCACCCACCTAGTGTCCCCTCTCACCCCACCAGTGGTCGCATCACCAGGAGTCAGCCCAACCACCAGAGTGGGAGCTCATCAGGGACTGGGTCGACTTCCAACCCAGTTAGCAATGGCAAAGAGACACGGCGAAGCAGCAAGAGATAACAGGTGCAGGACTAGGCAGTGCTTTTACACCTCTTCCCCTCACTGCCTGCTGTGTGACCTTTTGCCTTCTGCTAACCAACCCTGAGGCAGAGGGGCTGATATGGAGGGGAAGAGATGGCTATCATGCCGGAGCAGAGACTATGAAGCCAACTCATGTTTAGCTACTGAAACATACTTTAAATATGTGATGCTGACTGGATGAGGATTATGATGCTTGTTGTCTTTATACTGATGTTCCAGGTCAAAGTTGCTCTTTTCAGGATACCACATATTTCTCTCAATCTTTGGAGGAAGTTAACATGATTGCCACACCATCTTTTTGCCTCATAGTGTTTCATTCCTACCTTAACTTTCCAAGATAATAAGCTCCCATGGTATGGGCATGTGTTCTTAAATTTAGCTCCTGTTTGTAATTCTAAAATCTTTAAAACTATTTACTGTGGACTCATGGTAAAGTCACTGAAACTAAGCTGGACTTGAGTGGTTTTAGAATTGTGGACTAAAAGGCGGGCTGTCAGCTTTCATGGGGTGTCTTGTACAGAGGAGGTGTAGCTAGGCAGACAAATAGAATTTATCCCACTTTTTCCCAAGCCAAACTATCAGTCTGAGTTATTATTCCAGAATTGGCTGATAAAACGGCATTATTTTCCTAAAGATATTCTCCATTTATATTATAGCTTATGGCAGGCTGTAGATAGGTTTCTGTAGATGTAATGATGATACTAGATTAGAAATGCAGCAAAATTGCCAAGAAAAGGAAGGTTCCTTTTAAAAGACCAGATTTCAATTCTTATGAAAAGCCATCATTATTAGTTTGGATTATTGTGCCGATATCTTGACGTAGATCTGTGTTGTTATTCTAGTAGGGCTCAGCATGGGTGGTGGTAGAGGTTGGCAGGACAGGCCTTTTGTCAGCCAGTGCTGCTGCCTTGGTTCTCACCAGGAGCATGGCCCAACTAGGTACAACATTATGCACCTTTATCTCTGGACTGTTCAAGTCCTGTATAAAATCAAAAGGACAACCAGACTTTCCTGTGTCATTACAGAAGTTGAACAAAGTATTCTTAGTTCTTATGCTCCATTGCTTTCAGTGAATATGTCTTCCTATACCGTCAAACTTGAAGGGGCCAAAGTTGACCAAGAGCTCACAAAAACCCATAGATGGTTTTAGACTCAAGTTATCGGAAGGAACAGGAGGAGCAGTTTGCATCACATAAAAAGTTTTTAAAGGAGGACAGGGCAACATTTTAACATTAAAACATTTGCCAAAGTTAAGGTTCTTGAAAAACAATACAGTGTCAAATCTTACTTTTTTTTGTAACTGTGGCTTAATGGCCATTGCCAAACTATGTTTGAAAATATTTTGAAGTGCTGTACTATCTAGCTATTTGAATCCTAACCTCTTTTATTTTTTTGCATCGGTTCTTTACTCTGCAACAATTTGCTTGAATTATTTAACTGAAGTTTTCATTTTCCTAAGAACATCATTGTTGTCTAATCTTATGTGGCTATTTGAATGTAACTATTACATGAATGTTTGGGGAAGAAATATTTTAATCCTCTTATCTGTGAACATTTCTGATCAGAGTAAATGTGCCATTCCAAGGAAGTATGGATGCACCTGTTAATGTTTGCTCACAAACTTAAGATAACTGAAATAATTGTGTAAGTAACAATACCTGAGTAAATGTATTTGCCTGACATATGACCATTCTCTTAGACATCCTCAAGGACAGGGGCATGAGTTACATGCAACCTCTCTGTGCCAGTTTCTGCAAATTTCCTTTTAGGACACAGAGTGTTGACTGGTGACACCTCACTTACCATGTCTCAAATTTTAAGAGAATCCCTTCTGGATCGCTTGTTCAAGCTACCTAACTCTACCTATCAAGTTGGTGTTAATTCCACAAAATAAAATACTTTTCCATGATTTCCTGTCGTCAGGAAAAGTTGTGACGAAGCACAAATCATTTTGGTGTGCAGGTGGTGAAGTTGTGAAATCAATTTTTACTTATCAGTGGAAAAGTAAGGTATAACCTTACAAAAATGTTTAACTTCTGAACTGATCCAAGTTGGGGAAAGAATAAAATAAGGGGGCATTTGCCCATATGCCATAGGGGAGAAATCCAGCTGGGTTTGGACATTTCTTTTGAATAGGGCTTCAAGTCAAGAGTTCATGCTCTTTTCATCCTACGATGAAATATAAGTGTGTTTAAATTCTACCAAACGCTCTACACGCTAGCAATGGAGGAATAAACTGCATCAGAGAGTGTAAAACCAGCTATTCTGCGCTGTGCGCGCGCTAGAGAGACAGCGATGACTGAGAGAAGAGACGCGGCAAGATACGACAACCGCCCTTTGCCCACTCGCGGACGGCCACGTTGTGCTCTTTTGCACCCTGAACGAGCCGGGCGGAGCTCCCGCCTCCTACCATAAGGCAGCCACCGTCCAGAGCGCCTCGCTCTCCACGGAAAGGCGGGGCTTCCAGTTCCCCGCCTCCGGGGTACATAGCCACGCCCACTCGCACCCTTCGGCCTGCCGCGAGTCTCCACGCTAGCCCCGCCCATCTCGCAGCCAGGTTGCCGCGCTGTTCGCCACGCGAGCTGGGGGGTCCTTTGAAGGGTCCTTAAGTGAGGCTAAGTCGGCCTGGCAGCGCCTGTATCTGCGAGAGGCCGGTTGTGGGAACGTTCAAAGGAGGAAGTTAAAATAGGGAATGTGAGGGATGGGTTGGGATGTGGCAGCCTTTTTCAAGTGGAGCCAATAAGGCGGGATTAAGGCAGGAAATTAATTCAGGCAGGCGTTAGACATCCCTAAACAAGAAGAAGATTGGAGGAGTTCCTCCAGCCGGCACTGAGTTGGGGCTTCGGGCGGACTCGGGTCCTGCTGTGGGAGGAGGCGGTGAGAGTTGAGCAGGGGGAGCATAGCACTCAGAAATTGGGGTGACTTATTGTATGGAGCGGTGACGGTGGGTGGCAGTTAACTCGGGTAAAGTGGCGATTAAGAGTAGACGACAGGATGTTCCTGATTGAAACCTCATCTCTGCCACGCACTGCACTGGTGGCCTTGGGCAAGCCTCCAGTCTCTCTGCCTCGCCTCTTCAACTGCAAAATGGGGCTAAATAAGAGTGGTCCGCCTTATAGGGTTGTTTATAGAGATTGCAGAGATAATGCCTGTGGCGTGCTTGGAAAACTAAACTGGCGATATTAACCCTCTTGCTGTTTTATACGTGGAGTGTTTGGAGCATGATGTTCTCTTGAGGGAAAATTAGGAGTAGAGTTGCTGTTGACCAAAAGCAAATGAATACAAGTGAAAAATTATGGAAGATAGTTCCATTCTATAAAGTAATTGTTGACTGTCCAGTTTCCTCTATGTGCCTTTGTTTCGAGCATACAGTACATCTTACATGCACTTGGGTGAGATGTTTAAAATGTGTACTGTTACTCTGTTGTATTAAAGTGTTGCCCTAGCTCTTACTTCCAGTTTGTAAATTAGGAGTGTATCGTTTTAGCTTTCTGTCTTATCGGATCTCGTGGTGTGTAGAAAAAGATTAATATCACAATTCAGGCTAATACAGATATCCCTCCAAAGAAAGCTAGTCAAATGTATGCCATCCAAAGAAAGCTAGTCAAATGTATGTCCCGTCCAGTTCAATGGGACTTAAACATGGTTATCTTTCTCTAGACCAAAGTCATTTTTTCAGTTGTTTCTTGTGATATTCTTGCTTTTAATCAGGAAGTAAATCATCTGGACACATACTTGAAAGCGAGTGCTAGTTAAAATTTCTTTATCCACATTACTGAAGTGGGGGGGGGGGTATAAATTTATAAAAGGACTATGCAAATTTGAGAATTTCCAGCAGCCCTCATAGGAAAACAATTAAATTCAGAACTTTTGTATAAATTTGAAGGAATAACTTTTCAATGTAGAGACATGATAAATGTTTCATGAGAGTTGTTGTTTGTGGGATTAACAGTGCTTCTGTATAACTGTTTGTTCAATAGTGCTGCTGCATTATGCAGCCCTATTTCTCCTAACCCCCCATAACTGTGTTTTGGATTACAAGTCTAGTAATCCAAATACAGGTTTAATTACCAGTCAGTGGGGCTTCTGAATAAACTTGCATAAAATTACAGTGTAAGACTTTCTAAATCTAGTCATTCAAACATTATGATGCATACATTAAAATACAGTGGTACCTTGGCTCATGAACTTAATCCATTCCAGGAATCTGGTTGTGAGCCAAATTGGTCCTGAGCCAAGTCAAATTTCCCCATAAGGTTCAATGTAAATAAGGTTAATCCATTCTGTAACTGTTTCTTAATCAGAAAAATGTGAAGCAAAGTGACAAAGAACAACAAAGATCACAGCCATCTCCCCCCACCCCAAGCACGAGCTTGGCCATCTCCCTCGCCCCAGCATGAGCGTAATCACAGCCATAGACGGGCGTGATCCTGGTCACATTTGGGGGTGGGGAGATGGGCGCTGGCGGTGAGATGGATGAGATTGTGGTTGCACTCGTGCAGGAAAGACAGGCATGATCACGGGCGCACTTGTGTAGGAAAGACGGGCACGATCTCAGCCATCTCCCCCACACCCCAGCTCGATCGCAGCCATCTCCCCACCCCTCCGAGCACAACCGCGATCATGCCTGTCTTCCCTGCATGAGCACAACTGCGATTGTGGCCATCTCACTGGGGGCGGCGGGGGGGGGGGGCATTCAGGAGAGATGGTTGTGGTCACGGTTGTCACTCAATGTGGAGTTCGCGACCAGAGTCAAAATTTTTATGAAATTTTGTTCGCGACCCAATTTGGTTGTGAACTGAGGTGTTCGTAAGCCAAGGTACCACTGTAACTATAATGAAATCAATTTAATGTCAGGACTGATGCACATCTACTCAGTCACAGAAGCTAAAGACAGAACATTAGCTAACTTACAAGACTGTAGCAGCACTCAAGCTCTTTTCACTGTGTAAACCTGTATTTTTCCAGCATCCGTTTTAAGCCCCAGAAGCTGTGTGCTTGTGTGGGCATGGTGCTTATCATACACACAGATGCAGAACAAAAGGGTTAATTGCTGTTATTTTAGTAGCACCTGTACACATAACTATGCCAGGGAAAAGCACCTAGGGTGCCATATGTGGCTGTAAAGCATTGCAGTTATTTCTGTATCTGTCCCTGTATGTGTACCTGAACACAACCATATATAAAACAACTAGGGTTGGGTGCATGCTGTGCATGTTTGAGTCCATCCCAGACCCGCAGTGATACTTGAAATCAAAAGCCTTGATTGTAAGGCTTTTCTCTGTTCAAGTTAGCAATATGTTCAGGTTTAATTTATTGTGTGGATTTGGTCACAACAGTATTATAGAGTGCTTTTGTTTTTAAATGTTGATGTGCTTGTTTGTAATTTGATGTGAGCATTTCATTGAACCAAAATACATGATGGGGCAGCCAACCCATCTTTATCTTGAATTTTAAGAGCCAAGCTACACATATGATACAACTCCCACTTTAGGTGCAAAATCAGGAAACTCTTCTAAGATATACTAGTGGTGGAACCTTGAGATTTCAGGCTGCTGGGAAGTTTATTTTCCACAAGAGTTTGAGAAATAAATGATACAGTCAGAAAAATCAGCAGTTGTTGGACTGCACCACTTAGACTGCAGGTAAGGGAATACATTTTTGAGTGCCTCCAACATTTAAAAATCCTATAAAAATCTTCATGCTTATAGAAAACAAATGTTGCCCTCTTCCTGATATGTTTACTTTCTACTTTTTGAAACCCAGGAATGGCTTATAAAGGTTATTTCACCATGTGAGGCGTTTCATCCTAGCCATCTCTGCTTGCTCTTAATTCATTTGCTAAGTGTGAACATTAACTCCGAATATACCTAGGGGCCTTTCCCTGAGAACTGTTTTGTGGTTATCCATAAGTTTTACAGCTTATTGAACATTTTAGTGTATGTAGCTTGTGATATCACTTAAGGTTTATTATTTTTCTCTGTAGAAAGGATACCAAGTTGGCAAATATCTCAAAGTCAGCAGAAGGCAATTTGTAAAAGCAACCAGGAACCAGCAGTAACTGCTGACTTCGGCCATTGCACAAAGAGCACTTTGTGTTCTAAACCTGAACTTGGGGAAGAAAAGCTGCCTTTCAGAATGTTGCTTAGCATTTGTATCTTGGAGTCCTCCTGAGTGCAGGCAGATGTCCTGTGGGTGGCTCATATTGCCTGAAGTGCTTGATCCTGCCTGTTCTTGGAAGCTAAGCAGGGTCAGGCCTGGTTGAAATCTGGATGGGTGATGTGAGTGCTGTGAGTTGCCCAGAGAGCTTTAGCTTCAGGTGATACAGAAACATAATGTAGCAACAACAATAATATTTTTGTGGAAAAGGGAAGTTTGGATGTGATTCCTAGTAATGGAAGTAGTTTGCTTTTGGAGTTTGAGGAGCAGGCTAGAAATAGCTTCCACACAATAGCCCTGAGATAACATCTGACTTTATATGCAGGTTGTGGCCCTTGCCCACACCCAAAAAGATGAATGGCTGGATTTCAAGCACGGTCTGCCTGTCCATTATCCTTTCACTACAGTTGAGTAGTGCTTTTGCCCGGAGAAGCCAAGATCTTCGCTGTGGAGGTAAATTAGGCTATCTTTTAACTAATAGAATTAACTAGGGGTGGTGGGCCTGTTGGAAAAATTTAGGAACAGTAAAAGATGGATTATATCCATGACTTTCAGACTTTCTGGCTTCAGGGAATCCTTTTCACATTGATATGTCTGTTGAAGAATGTAAAGTGTGTTCCAGTGTGCAAGACCCATTCAGAAATACAGGGAAAGACCCGGAGAGGTGGCCAAGCTGTCTTTCAGAAAAGCTTATCGACTGCCATTACGAATAATCTTATTGCAGAGCCTTTGACAGTTTGCGGAATCACTGGGCACCCAGGAGGAGTATTTCACACTCCTCTAAGTATACAAATCCAAGCTATACTTTTAATGTATGAAACCAATTCTACACATTTCTTATACTTAGTGGTTTTTTGTTGTTAAAGAAGGGGCTGGCACTGGCTGTTAATTCAGATGCTGTGAAAGATGATCACTAAAAAAGGGGGGGGGGGTTCAATGGGAGACACTTGTGAAGGTTACTTCATTGTACATTGGTGTGGTGGTAGCCCAGGCAAGCTCAGCAACATCCGCAAGGGGGTTCTGCTTCTCTTGTCAAGCAGTTTACTCACCACTTCCCTGGACCCACATGAGGTCGATCACCTGGATTCCAACAACAAGACCACACATCCTGGATACAACAACCCTAAGTGCAAGCCATGGATTGTCACAGTGCACTAAACATCAGTGTTGTACTGTGCAGCATGAAACGCTGCTGTACAGCAGCTTTTTAATTATCTGGAGGGAGATCGCTGGGTCAGCCTCCTCAGGATCATGTACATCAGGAAAGCCTTTCTGGAATCAGGTTGTCTCCCATTCTGTTATTGGCTTTGCTGCTTTATTGGGCTACTAGTTCCTGACATAGAAATGACATGTTGCTTTCATAGCTAAATTGCGGTCTTACAGCAGGTGGGAAGGGTAAGTAGAAGAACAGAGGTTCAAACTGCTGTTTTGTTATTTGAACAACTGCTGCTGTGTCTATATCAGGGGTTGGCAATCCTATTTCTTTCCCACTGCCCACTTCCAGTGCCCTGTATACGTCTCTGGCCTGTTTAACATAGACTGCAAATCCTGCGGAGAGCTGCTGCTCTGGAAATTGTTGTCAGATGCACACACTGTTCCATGGCATACATCCATCTGCAGTGTGCAACATTTTGAAGAATGTATTTGTCCAGCTGCCAATTTTTTTACAATGTTCCAACATCAGAGTGAATGTAGGCGGGAGAGAGGGAGGGATAGTACATATGCAGTGGGGTAGCTCAAGACTTGGCTTCAGGTAAAGAGAGGACTGGAAAGCTGCAATCAAATTTGTTTGAGCTGGAATTATCTAAGATTGCAATGTACATCATATATTTTCATGAGACCTTAAATGTGCTCATAGGGCTAATAAGCCCCTGAAGATGGTTTGGTCCAACTCTGGGATACGATAAGAAAATGTTGAAAAAGTTTTCTTTTTGTATGTATAAAGATACTATTTTAAATATGTCCTTTCAATAATTGTTCTTGACGTTCTGTCTTTGACTGCAACAATCTTGACGAATGATATTCCTGCCATCACTGCTGCTTTTTAGACACGTGCTTTCTCTCTGTTTTTAGTATGTCGTGCCCTGGTGGATGAACTGGAGTGGGAAATATCTCAGGTAGATCCCAAGAAAACCATCCAGATAGGTTCCTTCCGTATCAACCCAGATGGAAGCCAGTCCATTGTAGAGGTAATGTGTTTCATGCTTGCCCTGGACTGGTTAGGGCTTTGGAGACTTTAGCTATAATCTCTGAGATGAGAGGTTAGGGAGATGGTTCAGCCGATTCTATAAGAACCTTATAAGAGGAAAACAACAACTGTGGGCTGGTGAACATCTGGTGAAAGTGGAGGCACTCAAATATTTTTCCAATGTGATTCTTTCCCCTGCACTGCAGAAGGTCCTTGTCTCTGAAGTAGCCAGAAATCATTAATCAAGAAGGTATTCCTACTCCAGAGGAAGGCAATGTTATGTTCAGCATTTCATGAGCGATACTGAGATTCAGAGCATTTCTTTCTATTGTTTAAGAAATTTTGAGAGAGTTTACAATAACTGAAACTATAAGATCACATCACAAATCAAACATTTATGCAAATGTAAAACAAAGCACAACAATATTATTATTATTATTATTATTATTATTATTATTATTATTATTATTATTATAACATTTCTATGCCGCCCCTTGCCGAAACCTCGGGGCAGCTTACAACATGATAAAATACATTGAAATACAATAGTACATAATAAATTACCATTAAATATAAAAATACAAAAAATACATTGATTTACAAATACAAAATTAAAATTATCAGTATAAAATAAAAATATAGGAGGAGAAAGAGAAGGAAGAAGAAGTTGCCCAGGCCAGATCATATGTTTTAACAATTGAAATGATGTTTAAATAAAAAGGTCTTTACCTGGCGCCGAAAAACCAGTAACGACGGTGCCAGGCGGACCTCTTTGGGGAGTGAATTCCATAGGTTGGGCGCCACCGCAGAGAAAGCCCTCCTCCGAGTACTTACTCTCCTAATTTCTTTCATGGAGGGTTCCCGGAGAAGGGACTCTCCCGCAGATCTCAAAGGGCGGTCGGGCATATACGGACGTAAGCGCTCGTTCAGGTAGCCAGGACCCAAGCCGTTTAGGGCTTTGTAGGTCATAATCAACACCTTGAATTGGGCCCGGGCTTCAATGGGAAGCCAGTGAAGCTGACGGAGGACTGGAGTCATGTGAGCATAACGCCCCGTCCCCGTCAGCAACCTGGCAGCTCTATTTTGCACCAATTGAAGTGTTCGGACTGTCTTCAGGGGAAGCCCCACGTAAAGCGCGTTACAGAAGTCTAGGCGGGAAGTCACCAGCGCGTGTGTCACCGTCGCCAGGCAGTCATACTCCAGGTAGGGGCGCAGCTGATTAATCAGCCGAAGCTGAAGGAAGGCGTTCCTCGCTACCGCTGTCACCTGAGCTTCCAAAGAAAGCTCCGGGTCGAGGAGTACTCCTAAGCTGCGGACCTTATCCCTAAGAGGGAGTGTTGCACCATTCAGGACCAGGTCAAATCCACCCTCTCCGAAACCCGATCCGCCAACCAACAGGACCTCCGTCTTGTCTGGGTTGAGTTTCAGTTTATTTGCCCTCATCCATTCCCTTACCTCGGCCAAGCACCCGTTCAGCACAGCCACTGCCTCACCTGGATTAGTGGAGAACGAGAGGTAAAGCTGGGTATCATCAGTGTATTGATGATTCCGCAGCCCACACCTCCTGATGACCTCTCCCAGCAGTTTCATATAGAGTTAAATAGCAGAGGGGATAGAATGGAGCCCTGTGGTACCCCATGGCATAGCTGCCATGACGTAGAGACATGGTCCCCCAGCACTACCTTCTGGAATTGACCGTCGAGATAGGAGCGGAACCACTGCAAAGCAGTGCCTCCAACCCCCAAGCCCGCAAGTCTATCCAGAAGGATACCATGGTCGATGGTATCGAAAGCCGCCGAGAGGTCCAGAAGAACCAACAGGGATGCACTCCCCCTGTCCTTCTCCCTGCACAGGTCGTCGTACAGGGCGACCAAGGCAGATTCAGTACTGTACCCGGGTCTGAAGCCGGACTGAAAAGGATCCAGATAATCAGTTTCATCCAAGAGTGCTTGGAGTTGTCCCGCCACCACTCACTCCAACACCTTGCCCAGAAACGGGATGTTGGCCACAGGTCTATAGTTAGTGGCCATCTCTGGATCCAGTGATGCTTTCTTCAGGACCGGTCGTATTACCGCCTCCTTTAAAGGGGCAGGCACTCGACCCTCCCTCAGAGAAGCGTTAACCACTTCCAAGATCCAGGTCCCAATCCCGTGCTTGGAGTTATTTATTAACCAAGACGGGCAAGGATCCAATAGGCAAGTGGTGGGACGTACTCTTCCAAGCACCTTGTCCACATCATTGGGCCGCAATAATTGAAATTCCTCCAATAATTTTGGACCAGACGGTGGCATTGGCGACTCCTCAGAGACCTCTGATTCATTAGTGGAGTCCAGCTCGTGACGAATCTGAGCGATTTTCTCCCTGAAATGCCTGGCAAAGTCGTCACAGCGGGCCTTTGAGGGTGGCATCGGATCTTCCTTAGGACCCAGGCAAACCAGGCCTTGCACCACTCGAAAAAGCTCCGCTGGACGGCATTGTGAGGAGGCAATGGAAGCGGAAAAAAACTTCTTTTTCGCCGCCTTCACCGCCACAGCATAGGCCCGATAGTGGGCTCTCAAGTGTGTTCGGTCAGATTCATCCCGTGATTTCCTCCACCTACGCTCTAGCCGTCTCCCAACTCGCTTCATCGCCCGTAATTCAGGTGTATACCAAGGGGAAGAGCGGACTCTGCCCGGTGGGAGAGGACGCTTAGGAGCGATCGTGTCCACAGCCCTGGTCATCTCTCCATTCCACAGTTCGACCAGAGCCTCGACAGGAGTACCAGTCTTGTCAGCCGGAAACTCCCCCAGGGCCTTCAGGAATCCATCCGGATCCATCCGGCTCCAGGGGCGGGCCCATACAATCGGGTCCGCACTCTTATAGAGGGAGAGGCCGCTCGAGCACAAACCTCACCAGGAGGTGATCTGACCATGATAGGGGAGTCAAACATAAATTTAATAAATTTGCAGCACCCCAATATCCACTGAAAATAAATTGAAGCTGGAAGAAAGCAAAATAAACCTATTCCTTGTCCCTCAAAGGTTGCCTGAACATGTGGGCCTTGCATGCTTCTTTAAAACTAATGAGAAGGCAACACAGATATCTCCGTTTGGTCAACTCATTCCAGAACCTTGGACCTATGGCTAAGAAGGTCTTGCCTCTAGCTTCAGTTTTTCTGGATTGTCCTTGATCTTAAGTGGTGAGAGGCCCATATGTGGTTTCTGAGATATACACATTTCAGGTTGGGAACAATTGAAAGGTCAGTAGTTAGTCTATAGATGTTTGTATTCATGGGAGCTGGTGATGTGGTAGAAGAAAAGGACATCAAGCTTTAGAGCTGTACTGATGGGGAGCATGGAGGAACGATTTCTGCGGTTCTTTTCCTGACCCCGAGAGAGGTTTAGAGAAGTTTCAGCCTGGTTGCTCCTGTCCTTCTCTCTCTCTCTCTCTCTCTCTCTCTCTCTCTCTCTCTCTCT